TGTGTGTAAAATGTTCTAAGATATGATGATGATGTGGTTTGCTTTGATGTGAGTTTATTTTCATTGTATTTTGGGCTGTGGGGCTCTTTATTTTTTATTTTTTTGTTTTTAATATATTTTATTGATTTTTTTACAGAGAGGAAGGAGAGCGATAGAGAGCTAGAAACGTCGATAAGAGAGAAACATCGCCCAGCTGCCTCCTGCACACCCCCTACCGGGGATGTGCCCGCAACCAATGTACATGCCCTTGACCGGAATCGAACCCGGGAACTTTCAGTCTGCAGACCGAAGCTCTACCGCTGAGCCAAACCGGTTTCGGCAGCTGTGGGGCTCTTTAAATCTGAAGATTCAAGATTCAAGAAATATGTATGTTTCAGGTTGGACGTTGGATTTCCAAATACTGCTCCTTTTTTTTTTTTTTTTTTTTTAATCTTTTTCTTCTACTTTTCATCTCTCTCTTTGCTCTTCTTTTAGGGAAATTTCTTTAACTTTTTTTAAAAAAATATATTTTATTGATTTTTTTACAGAGAGGAAGGGAGAGGGATAGAGAGCTAGAAACATCGACCAGCTGCCTCTTGCACAACCCCCACCAGGGATGTGCCCGCAACCAAGGTACATGCCCTTGACCGGAATCGAACCCGGGACCCCTCAGTCCGATGCTCTACCACTGAGCCAAACTGGTTTCGGAGGAAATTTCTATAACTTTATCCTCCAACACACACACACACACACACACACACACACACACACACACACACACATTATTCCAAGGACATGTTTTTATTGATTTTTAGAGGGAGAGGAAGGGGGGGGGGAGAGAGAGAGAGAGAGAGAGAGAGAGAGAAACATTGATTGGTTGCCTCACATACATGCCCCAAACAGGGATCGAACCCTCAACCTAGGTATGTGCCCTGACAGGGAATCAAGCCTGCAATCTTTTTGGTGTACAGGACAATGCTCAAATCAGCCGAGCTACCTGGCCATGGCTACGGTCTAACATTTTTATTACTACTTATTTTTTTGCATTTCCACTGTTATGTTTAATTCCCAAGTGTTCTTTATGGTTATTGTTTTTGTATATCTTCACTTTGAGGGTATTTGTTCCATTGCTTTTTAGAGAGAGTGGAAGGGAGGGAGGGAGGGTGAGAGAAAGAAACATTGATGTGAAAGAGACACATTGATTGGCTGCCTCCCACATGCCTCCCACATGCAACCCAGGTACTTGCCTTCCATAGGGAATTGAACCCTCAACCCTTGGGTCCATGGACTGATGCTCTAACCACTTAGCAACATGGGCCAGGGCCCAAGGGTTGTTTTGATGCCCCCCCCCTTTTCCCCCTAAATTTATTTTATTGATTTTTCATAGAGAGGAAGAGAGACAGAGAATTAGAAACATCGGTGAGAGAGAAACATCAATCAGCACACACCCTACTGGGGATGTTCCCACAACCAAGTCACATGCCCTTGACAGGAATCGAACCTGGGACCCTTCAGTCCTCAGGCTGAAGCTCCATCCACTGAGCCAAACCGGCCAGGGCTTGCTGTTCCCTTTTTAATAGCTTATTTTTCTTACTTCTGGATCCAATAAGCACTCATCAATCTATTAACATTAATGGAAATTTGGGGGAAGTTGTCTTCTCTCCGAAATCTTGTATTTCTACTACAAGCCCGGTGCACAAAATTCTTCCCCTGGGGGAGAGAAGGCCCCTCAGCCTGGATTGTGAGAGGGTGCAAGCCAGGCCAAGGGATCCACCAGTGCACGATTGGGGCTGGGGAGGGACATGGGAGGTTGGCCAACGGCAGGGACCACAGGAGGGCTCCAGGGCAGGTCCAGCCGGTCTCACTCAGTCCCGATGGGCTGGGCCCCAGCAGCAAGCTAACCTACGGGTTGGAGCATCTGCCCCTGGTGGCCAGTGCACATCATAGCGAGGGGTTGAGTGGCCTTAGCATATCATTAGCATATCATGCTTTGATTGGTTGCGGACACTCAGCACAATAGGCTTTTATTGTATAGGATAAGCTGATTTTTTCCTTTGCTCGTTTTGACCTCCCTCTTTTGTATCGTAATAAAGATTTTCTCAGGGATCAGCCTTGGGTGTCCCCGCCTTAGTATGGAGTTTGAGAAGCCAACAGGAGCTGGAGAGCAGTGGGCTTCTGTCTGTCCTGTCGCTGCTCTGTGGCTAGGCCTGGGCCCCGAGGGCAGAGCCTCTGGGTCTTTGCTTCTGATGGATCCGCAGCCTCCCCCTGAGGAGAGGTGCTGGCGGGCGCCTGGGGCCGAGGAGCAAGTGGCTGGGAGGGTCACTGCACTCACAATGGGTAAGGTTACTCAGTCCCCGGCGACCCCCCCAGCGGCCCCCTGGTGACCGTGCCAGGGTCCCAGGACAGAGACCAGCCAGAGACAGGCCTCCGTGGCCACCGCCATCACCTCTGACCCGGAACCCTGACCCTTCCCTCCTGTCCTCTGCGGAGTGAGGCAGCGCCTTCTGCCCCTCTTTACCTCTGAAGCCTCTCCTCAGTCCCCCGCCCCGGGGCCCCCCTCGGTCACGGCTCCGGTGCCTCACCCGCCTCTCTGTGCACGACGCAGCCCACGCCACCTCCTCCGAGGGCCTTCCAACCCAGCACCCGTCCTCCATGTGAGAGGGCGCTCCTGGGCCTGAGTGAGGTCAGCACGTGCATGTGGGCACTGGGTGCCCTGGGTGCCCTGGGTGCCCTGGGTGCCCTGGGTGCACTGGGTGCCCTGGGTGCCCTGGGTGCCCTGGGTGCTCTGGGTGCTCTGGGTGCACTGGGTGCCCTGGGTGCCCTGGGTACACTGGGTGCCCTGGGTGCTCTGGGTGCTCTGGGTGCACTGGGTGTTCTGGGTGCCCTGGGTGCCCTGGGTGCTCTGGGTGCCCTGGGTGCCCTGGGTGCTCTGGGTGCACTGGGTACACTGGGTGCTCTGGGTGGGTGCCCTGGGTGCTCTGGGTGCTCTGGGTGCCCTGGGTGCACTGGGTGCCCTGGGTGCACTGGGTGCTCTGGGTACACTGGGTGCTCTGGGTGCCCTGGGTGCTCTGGGTGCCCTGGGTGCACTGGGTGCTCTGGGTGCACTGGGTGTTCTGGGTGCCCTGGGTGCCCTGGGTGCTCTGGGTGCTCTGGGTACACTGGGTGCTCTGGGTGCCCTGGGTGCTCTGGGTGCCCTGGGTGTTCTGGGTGCACTGGGTGCCCTGGGTACACTGGGTGCCCTGGGTGCTCTGGGTGCACTGGGTGTCCTGGGTGCTCTGGGTGCCCTGGGTGCTCTGGGTGCCCTGGGTGCTCTGGGTGCTCTGGGTGCACTGGGTGTTCTGGGTGCCCTGGGTGCCCTGGGTGCTCTGGGTGCCCTGGGTGCCCTGGGTGCTCTGGGTGCACTGGGTACACTGGGTACACTGGGTGCTCTGGGTGGGTGCCCTGGGTGCTCTGGGTGCTCTGGGTGCCCTGGGTGCTCTGGGTGCTCTGGGTGCACTGGGTGCTCTGGGTGCACTGGGTGCCCTGGGTGCACTGGGTGCTCTGGGTACACTGGGTGCTCTGGGTGCCCTGGGTGCTCTGGGTGCCCTGGGTGCACTGGGTGCTCTGGGTGCACTGGGTGTTCTGGGTGCCCTGGGTGCCCTGGGTGCTCTGGGTGCTCTGGGTACACTGGGTGCTCTGGGTGCCCTGGGTGCTCTGGGTGCCCTGGGTGTTCTGGGTGCACTGGGTGCCCTGGGTACACTGGGTGCCCTGGGTGCTCTGGGTGCCCTGGGTGCACTGGGTGCTCTGGGTGCCCTGGGTGCTCTGGGTGCCCTGGGTGCTCTGGGTGCCCTGGGTGCCCTGGGTGCTCTGGGTGCCCTGGGTGCACTGGGTGCTCTGGGTGCATTGGGTGCTCTGGGTGCCGTGGGTACCCTGGGTGTTCTGGGTGCACTGGGTGCACTGGGTGCTCTGGGTGCTCTGGGTGCACTGGGTGCTCTGGGTGCACTGGGTGCACTGGGTGCTCTGGGTGCATTGGGTGCTCTGGGTGCCGTGGGTACCCTGGGTGCTCTGGGTGCACTGGGTGCCCTGGGTGCTCTGGGTGCCCTGGGTGCCCTGGGTGCCCTGGGTACACTGGGTGCCCTGGGTGCACTGGGTGATCTGGGTACACTGGGTGCATTGGGTGCTCTGGGTGCCCTGGGTGCTCTGGGTGCCCTGGGTGCCCAGTGCCGAGCTGACCAGAGCAGGGGGTGATGCTCCGGGCGCTGACTGCCGGGGAGGGGCCTGCTGAGCCAGTCCAGGCGCCTCCAGCCAGCGAGCTCGGCTCCACCAGCCCCGGCCGCGGCTCTTGGCCTGTAGGGCCCGGGGAGGGCTGCCCCTGTACTCAGCGCCGAGGGCCTCGGCGGGGCGCCTGCCCTGAAGGGACTCCTGCAGGCTGCCTCCCTGGCCTCCGAGCCCGTTTCCGTGTGACGGGCCTGCCTGCCGGGGGGCCAGAGCCTTGCTCCCACCCGGTCCGTCCGGCGAGGCCGCTGTGCTGGGCTCGCAGGCTCGGTCTGCAGCGTCCGCTGAGCACGTGGCACGCACCCTGTCTGCCGTGGGGAGGGTGGCGGTCTCCTTGGGGAAAGGGGAAGGCAGCTCTCCAGGTGCCTGTTCAGGCCGCACCAGGTATGTGAGCTCACACCCCCTCCTCAGCCCCGTGGGCCCTGCTGCGCCCTGGCACCAGGAGGAGAGTGCTTCCCGCCTGCGGCTCACTCTGTGTCAGCCTGTCTGTCTGTCCGGCTGGGAGCTCCCTGAGGCGGCGGGCCAGCTGCCGGGGCGGGTGTGTGTGTGTGTGCGCGTGTGGGGGTGAGGGTGGGGGTAGGGGTGGGGGGTAGGGGTCGTTTGCAGAGCTCTGAGGGCTGAGCATGCGGAGATCTCCCTGCTGGGTTAACGGGCCCACAGCATGGCCCTGGCGGCAGGCAGCACTGGGCCTCCTGTGGCCTCTGGAAGGTGGTGGGCGCTGGCTGGCAGCAGCCCCTCCTCTCCTCTCCTCTCGCTTGATTTTCCAGGAACTGGTGCCCCTACCAGAGGTCCAGGCTGGTCACCTTCGTGGCTGCTTGCAAAACGGAGAAGTTCTTCGTCCACTCACAGCAGCCGTGTCCGCAGGGAGCCCCGTGCCAGAAGGTCAACGTCATGTGAGTGGCAGGCGGGTGGCCGCTGGCCCCTCCCAGTGCGGCTCCGAGTGGCTGAGCCGGTGTCTCCCTCCAGGTACCGCGTGGCCGCCAGGCCGGTGTACCAGGTCAGACAGAAGGTGCTGGCCGCCGTGGCCTGGAGGTGCTGCCCCGGCTTCGCCGGCCCTGACTGCCAGCACCATGGTAGGCCTCCCCCTCTGACCCCGAGGTCCTGAGCTCCTCTGACCTCTTGGGGCCAATATCTGACGCCTGCTCCCACAGATCCCACTGCGATCCCGGGTGCCGACCTCCAGGAGCCCTGGGCCGGGCCGGCTGGCGAGGAACCGGGTACGCTGCTTCCCCAGGGGTGCAGGAGGGCGGCGGGCAGGGAGGCTGTGCCAGGCTCTTCTCCCGCAAGGCAGTGCCTCTCCGGAGGACTCGGGCCTGTAAGGCAGTGCCATCTCCGGAGGACTCGGGCCCAGAACGGCAGGGCCCCCGAGGCTCCGCACCGCCCTCCTGCATACTCGGGCCAGGCGCCTGCCGCTGGCATGCACGTCACCCTTTCCAGGACTGACAGCTTCGCCGGGCACCCCCCTGCTCCTGCCCTGACAGTCCCCACGGCCTGGACACCTCCCCACACCCCTGCCTCAGCAGGGACAAGAAGTCCCGCAGTCCCTGTTCTCGAGTCTCCGTGCTGTCAGGCGGGCGGTGTCCCCTGCCCCGTGTGCAGCCGCCTCCGTGCTCTTGGCGAATCGCCCAGACACCGCGGGGGCTGGGCCTCTCGGGGCTGGACCGAGGCTGGGTGGCGCAGGCGTTCCATCACGTGGTGAACGCCTATCTATTGACAAGGGCTTCAAGAATAGTGGCCGGGGAGGAACATGTGCCAAGATTGATTAGTCATGTCTGCTGTGGTGTGGATGGCAGGGGAAGGTCCCAGGGTTTGCCCTCCTGGGACTAACGGCTTCTAAGCTGCTGCTCGGAGGCCATCAGCATACTCCTCTGTTCCCAACCCCGAAGGCTCGGTGCCCTGTGGTCTGCCCAGGCCCGGAGTTAGCCCTCAATACGTCTTTCTCACGTGCCCTCCACCCACCAGCTGCAGAGCCCGGTCACTCCGGGGCGCTGCAGGAGCGCCTGCTGAGAGATCTCCAGAATGACGTCCACCACACGGCCGACAGCCCCTCGGGCCCGGGGACGGCCCCGGCCAGCAACCTCACAGCTGCAGCCACCGAGGCAGACGAGGGGGAGCTCGGTAAGCGCAGCCCCAGGGCTGAGGAGGAGCCTGACTGCACCCAAGGGGCTGAGGGGGAGGGAAGCAGAGGGTTCTCTCAGCCCCTACGTGGGAGGGCGCCCGCGCAGCAGGCCGGGGTGAATGTGGGCGTTTGTTGCAGAGTTCCCTGGCCAGTCCCCGGAGCGGGTGCTGCCTTTCGGCCCCGATTGGAGCGGCTTTAACCACAGCCTGCATAGCCTCTTTGAGGCGGTCAGGAACCTCTCCTTGGGTGTGGAGGCCAACCGACAGGCCATCAGCACGGTGCGGGACAGCGCTGTGCCCAGGGCTGACTTCCGGGAGCTCGGGGCCAAGTTTGAGGCCAAGGTCCAGGAGAACAGCCGGCGAGCGGGCCAGCTGCAGCGGGACCTGGAGGACGGCCTGCAGGCCCAGCGCCTCTCCCTGCAGCGCTCCCTTGCGGAGGTGCAGGCCGACGTGGAAGCCAAGCTGAAGAGGCTCCTCAAGGCCCAGGAGCAGCTGTCCAACGCCAGCCTGGCGGCCGCCGCGGCAGGAGCGGGCGCCCGGCCCGAGCCGGAGAGCCTGCAGGCCCGGCTGAGCCAGCTGCAGAGGAACCTGTCGGCGCTGCACCAGGCCGCCGGCCACCGGGAAGAGGCGCTGCAGGGCGCCCTGGCCGACATGCAGGCGACCCTCGACCGGCACGTGGAGGAGATCAAGGAGCTGTACTCGGAGTCGGATGAGACCTTCGATCAGATCAGCGCGGTGGAGCAGCAGGTGGAGAAGCTGCGGGGGACGCAGCAGGAGCTGCGGGAGCTGCGCGTGGCCCTGATGGAGAAGTCGCTCATCGCCGAGGAGAACAAGGTGGACGCGGACCGGCAGCTCCTGGAGCTCAACCTCACCCTCCAGCACCTGCAGGGCGGCCTGGCCGACCTCGTCAAGTACGTCACCGACTGCGGCTGCCAGGGGCCCCGCGGCGGCCCCGAGGGCCTGGGCAACGCCACGCGCGCCCCGGAGCGCGCCCCCGGGAGCCCGGGCGCCGGCGCCGCCCCGCGGGCCGCGGAGCGCGAGGCGGCCGTGTGGCGGGCGCTGGAGGAGCGGCGCGCGGAGGCCCAGCAGGCGGGCGCGGAGCGGGCGCGGCTCCGGACGCAGCTGCGCGCGCTGGGCGGCCAGGCGGCGGCGCTGCAGGCGGCGCAGGGCGAGCTGCGGCGGGCGGCGGGCGAGCTGCGCGCCTCCTTCGCGGCGCTGCTGGCGGACGCGCTGCGGCACGAGGCGCTGCTGGCCGCGCTCTTCGGGGAGGACGCGGCGGCCGCCGAGGCGCCGGGGCCGCTGCCGCTGAGCTACGAGCAGATCCGCGCGGGCCTGCGGGACGCGGCGCTGGGGCTGCAGGAGCAGGCGCGCGGCTGGGCGGCGCTGGCGGCCCGCGTGGCGGCCCTGGAGCGCGCGGGCGGCGCCGGGGCGGCGGCGCCGGAGCTGCAGCGCCTGGGCGCGGGCGTGCGGCGGCTGGAGCGCTGCTGCGGGGACGCGGCCGCGGGCCACGCCGCCCTCAACGGCTCCCTGCAGGGCCTGCACGCGGCCGTGGCCGGCGCCCAGCTCGGCCTGCGGCGGCAGCAGCAGCTCTTCCACAGCCTCTTCGCCAACTTCCAAGGGCTGCTGGCGGCCAACGCCAGCCTGGACCTGGGGCGGCTGCAGGCCGTGCTGGGCCGGAGGGAGAAGAAGGAGCAGAGGGGCCTGGACGCGGCCCGGAGGAGGGACAAGAAGCAGGCGGAGCCCCGGGCCCCGCGGCCCGCGCCCCAGGAGGCAGGTGAGTCCCGGCCGGGGGTCAGGCTGCGCCCCCGAGGCTCCAGGGGGACGCGGGGCGGGCAGGGCCCGGGGCCCGGGCCTGGGGGGAGCTGGTGCAGGCCTCCGTGCTGTCCCATGTGGCCCGGAGGGGACCCCGAGCTCTGGGCAGTGACTGTCCCTGCCGGGCCGCCGTGGGGCTCTGCCCCTCTCCCCGGACAGGGCGGTCCGAACCCCAAACCTCGCAGCTGGTTCCTGGGGCCTGGTGAACACTTCCCGGCCAGCTCCCTCCATGGGTCTCAGTTTCTTCGTCTGTAAAATGGGAGAGTCACATCAAGGGCTCTGATGCAGACAGACAGACAGACACACTTCCCAAACCCACAGGCTCCCGCGCATACAGCCGGGCTTTCCTGTCTCCGCGTCTTCAGGGCGGAGCGGGCCACCTGCGCCAACTTCCATCGCAGTGGGTGGTGCTGGCTCAGCTCCGGATGGTTTGGGAGTCTCAGTTCACCACCTCAGTGTTTGTTTCAAAAACCCCTTTACATTAAAAAGAAGAACTCTATTATTTGAGTTGCAGGAAGTCCATAGGGCTTGAGCTCGTTCCCACAGGGAAGCCCCACCCCAGCTGGAGGGACAGGCGCAGGGGGCAGCACCGCAGAGGGCGCCCCCCTCCTGGGAGCTGGGGGAACTGCAGGGCCAGAGCGGGTCTTTGAGGTGACAGTCTTACACAAATGGAAACGCTCCTCTGAGCTTTAATTCTCAGGAATCTTCCAGAACTAGAGAAGAGCCACGTTCTGTCATTCACAGGCTGTGGCTGGACCAAAGTCAAGAGCTGGTTCTGGGTCCTAAGTAACTAACTGCCAACTTAGTCCTGTAGGCCTTGGCTTCATGCCCTGAGACACGTGCTGAGGGCGTGCCCAGGAGCATGGCCACGTCAGCACCAGCCCTGCCATCTGGGCCGTGGACTCACCCTCCTCGCCCGTGCAGCGTCGTGCCCGGCAGCCGCCGGTCCTCCCCGCACCGTCCCCTCCGCAGAGCGGGTGCTCGGTGGCACTGCCCTCCTGGGCTGCAAGCAGCCAGGAGCTGGGACAGCCCCCGCCCCGGCCCAGGGCCCGGAGGCTCCCGGCCTCCCCGTGCAGGGCTCTGCGGCGCGGGGAAGCATCAGGCGGCCATCCCCGCCGCCTTCTCCTAGGGCCCTGCGCCAGCGTGCCCTGGGAAGCACTCCCTGCTCCACCGCCGCACCCCGGTCTGTGCCCTGAGGACAGGGCCCCCTTTCGCGGGGTCACGCGGCCCGTGGCAGGGGCGCAGGGGGAGGCGGAGCCCGGGCTGCCCCGCACGGACTGTTTCCTCATCAGAGGGACCCGCCTCGGTGTGGGAAGGGAGAAGGGCTGGAAGAGAGTGCTGTGCACAGTCTCGCCAGCGGAGACAACAGCTGTGTCGCTGTCAGCCAGTGACCTCCTAGGAGCGGCCAGGCGCCCTCTGACACACCGGCATTAGCAGTGTGGGTACTGAGCTGAGGAGGGCGGGTCTCGGATTGATCCCCATCCCAGGGAGGGCGTCCCTGAGCGCGTCCTCTGCCCCCAGGCTCCCCCGTGGCCTTCTACGCCGGCTCCTCGGGAGGGATGGCCGCCCCGCAGACCCTGAGGTTCGACGCCGCTGACATCAACGTTGGCAGCGGCTTCTCCCCTGAAGACGGCTACTTCCGGGCCCCCGAGCGCGGGGTCTACTTCCTGGCTGTGAGCATTGACTTCGGCCCGGGGCCGGGCGCTGGGCAGCTGGTGCTCGGCGGTCACCGCCGGCTCCCCATCGCGGGCGGCGGCACGGCCACGGCCTTCACGATGGCCGAGCTGCAGAAGGGGGAGAGGGTGTGGGTGGAGCTCACCCAGGGGCCCGTGCCCAGGAGGAGCCCGCCAGGCACCGCGTTCGGGGGCTTCCTGCTGCTCAAGACCTGAGCCCTGGGCAAGCCAGCCTGCGCCCGCACCCTCCACGCTGGTCCAGCTCTTCCCCGGAAAGCCGCAGAGACGAGGCCTCCCTGGATGCGCAGGTTGGACGCAGGTTGGACGGATGCTGCTCCCTGGCCACCGGGGCTGGACCTTCTGTCCCAGGCGGCGTGGCTGGCCTCGTTTGCGTCTGCTGTTTTGCCCCTTGTGGTTGAAAACTTCTGTACACGGAACCTTCCTCTGGTTCCCGTGTGTCCCAATCCCTGTTAGAAAAGCGTTCTTTCCCAGAGGATTTGGGAACTAGAATAGAGGGGCATTTTGGACAATCCGGGAACCTGGCTCCAAGCACAGCCGGTTAGGTCTGTCAAATGAAAACTGACCGAGTATCAGGCGAAGGAAACACAGTATCTTTCCCGCACTCTCAGTCCTTCCTCGAATGTACCTGTAACTTGAACTTCACTCCCTTTCTCCCTGCCCCACAGGGGACAAAGGCCCCGTGCCACAGAGCTAACGTGTGCAGCTTTCACCTTCACGCTCCCCCACAGCCTGGCCACCTTCATTCTTATTAGCATCTTTACAGGAAGGGAGCTGAGTGGGGAGGGAAGACACTAAAAATCCCCCTCAATTCCATCATCTTTGGAATCAGGCAGCACCTTCCCAGCTCTGCCCGGTGAGCCGATGGCGGAAGGATGTGGCGAGAGGTGGGAACGTGGAGCGAATAAAATGTTTGTGTCAGTGTGTCTGTCTGAGTAAGTGGCTCCGTCACTCCAGAACCCTCCCTGCAGGTTCGCTTAGTTCTGCCTACGACACGAGGAGCCTCGGTGAGCACTGACATTACTGGGTCAGACACCCAGCGCAGAGTTAGTTATTCTTGCAATAACATAGTTTAAGAAGGTCACATATTCTACAGCAAACAGGCGTGGCAAAGCAGTCGTCCAGTTGTCGGGAAACGTTTCATGCTGGTGGTAGGTGTTCAGTATTTGCTGACTGTATTCTCCGTAAGGAAATCTGACCGGGCTGGGAATGGACGGGCAGGAGCTGGTCAGCCTGCTGGATCCGGCTCAGCCCTTGCCTACCGGCTCCTCCCTCTGGCCAGGACCTCGCACCCAGTGCAGCCTTAGCTGCCAAGACCACTCCTGACCAAAGGCTGGCATGTGGCCCCCCCCTGACAGCCTGGAGGCAGTGCAGGCACCTGGCTGCCGGGAGACCAGCCTGGCCTTCTCGCTGCTGGCTTGTCGCTGCTGTCGGTCAGGCGGTGCCAGTGTCGGAGTGGAAATTATTGCATTAATAAGAGGGAGTGAGCTGATGTCCTCCATAAGGACACATGTCGTCCAGGGCAAGGTTATAAATAGGAGTGCTACCTGGCAAGCACTGCCCGCAGAAGGATGAGTCACGGGCATGTTGCTGGGGACCTCATGAACGAGGTTCCCATGCAGATTCCCAGGCCTCCCATCATGCCCCAGTGCAGGCTGCAGGTCCACACTGTGTAGCGAGGCACCAGCTCAGCGCGGACGCTCAGTCACCGGACAGACTCACCTGCACTAAGACATCGCAGTCGCTGGGAGGAGACCCGGTGCCTCCGGGTAGACCTGCTGCCCAGCTCGGCATCCAAACAGCCTCCCTCCAGCAGCAGCTCCCGAGCCGGTGCAGTGACATCAGACCTCCAACCTGGTGGAAAAACCCAAAAGTACCACCGAGGACAAGAAGGGTCCTGTAAGCAGACCAGGAAATTACAGTAATTCCTAAACAAACAGGAAGTAGAAAGGATCAAGTATGAAATGAAATAGCAATAAGAAATCATAACCCCAAAGCACATGAGACTGTTGGAGAAATGGGAGTGATTTCGGCGGAGTTCCAACGCAAACTCGGCCGCCCCGCACGTGGGGGTCCGGGGAGGGCAGTCGCTCCACCCCCCTGCGCTGAGCAGGGCAGCAGTGGCCTGCGAGAGGTCAGTCCTGAGCCCCAAGTAAGGGTGACGACTGACCCTCCGAAGGCAGGAAGCCCCACCCCTGATGACCTGTAACCTTAGGGAGTCAATCAGAGACCCTCCATGGACAAAACCACATGTCCAAATTATTTCACAAATACCAGGAAGGGGATAGCATGGTCTAGAAACAATGTTTCTTAAGCCCTCCTCCCTTCCAATCTCCTCTGCAGTCCATGTTTATCTTGAAAACAAAACACTCCTGAGCACCATCCCCACCCTCTTCTAGCAAGAAGCCCCCCAAACCTGGCTTGACAAACCTCGTGGGGGAGGGGGAGTGAGGATGTAAATGAAGGGAGTGAGGAGGAGAGAGGAAAGGTTGCTGTTATTTGCTCCAGGAAACAGTGATGATTCTACTCCTCCCTGAAAAAATGAGTCCAAGGAATGTGGAACCGAGGTGGGCAGGGACCCTCCAACGCTATGAGCAGTAGCCCGGAGTGCCAAACACTTGTGGAAAATTAGGATCAGGAACAAGACCCAAAACTCACCAAACCGAAGTTTTTGGAATATATAAACCTTTAGAAACAAGAGAGAAAATTGTAAGGTAAGTCTTATATGCCACCCAGATCCTGGTCTCCAAATAGCTCCCTTAAAGGGAACCTGAGTGCCTGTGAGAGGGCTGCCTGGGCCGAGCTGGAACATCCGTGCTTAAAAGACACCGGGCATGGCCGGCGTGGCTCAGTGATGGTGCCGCCCATGAGCCAGGAGGTCATGCTTAAGCTCCCAGTCAGGGCACATGCCCAAATTTTGGGCTCGATCCCCAGTAATGGGCATGCAGGAGGCAGCCCATCGATGTTTCTCTCATCAGTGTTTCTAACTATTCCTCTCACTTCCTCTTTGAAGTCAGTAAAAACAAAAATAATAGTCACATGCCAAAAGCTCAGGAGTCAGTGTGAGGAACTCCCAGTAGCTAAGTCTGGGTTAATTTGAACATCAAAGCCACTAATGACCTCGTGAGCCTGCCCATGAGTCCCATGCTGGTGGCCCGAGAAACACAAACACCATGTCCACCCACTCGCTGGCTTTTCTCCAGAGAATGTCAGAGCCACAGAAGCAAGAGCCAGACAACTGGTTCAGGTTGAAGGGGAACAAGACCTGACAACTACATGCCGGTCCTAGCCAGAACCTGGGACCGGGAAATGTGCTCTCGTGGCTTCTATTGAAACACCTGGCAAATGGTGTTGCAGGTAAGTGTCATGGTATCGATGCTAACTTCCCTGATTTTGATAATTGGTTGCATAACAGAACACCTCTGAAGCATTTAGGGATAGAGGCATGAGCTCTGCAATGTACTCCAAGTAGTTCAGAAAAAAGCACGTGTGAACACAGACTCCGAGCACCTTTGGACTTCCTGTACATACACATACAAAATGACCAGTTGTTGCAAAATGTAAGTTTATGAATCTGGGTGAAGGGTAAATGGCATTTTAAAAACTACTTTCCAACTTTTCTGGAAGCGTGAAATTATTTCAAAATACAGTTGAAATGAAATTTGATTGTTTAAGTAAAAACACACACATACACCTCAGTATATGGGTGAAAAGCAGAAAGGAGGATATAACATAAGAGGGACTTGCTAGGAAATTTGGAAGAAACATCCAGGAGACCTAGTATTTGTCTAATGGTAGTTCTAGAATGACCAAAGTAAAAGGAAGTAAAGTAGCAATGAAAAAAGTTTCCAGATTCAAGAAAAGGTGAGAAAACAGAATGGAAATAAGTAGACATGCAAGTTTAAACTTCAAAAAGGAAAGTTCTGCTCCGTGAAGGAGAATCTGAGTCACTCCACCAAGCACCGCCCCGAACACATCCATCCTCACTGGCCACGCGGCGCTGGGGACCGTGGGGCAGCCCTTCGCGTCGGAGAACCACATCGAATGATAAAAACCACTTCTTAAGTGTTCGAAGTGCACCCGCAAATGTACCACAGCTTCCAATTCTCTCAACACTTACTTGGATTCCCGTGTAGAGAACAGAGAACAGATTGCTTAAACTGATTCAAAATTTGCTTTATAAAGTGGCTCCCACTAAAAAAACAAGATGTAGTTTGAAAATATTTTCAGAATCAGCATTTTATATTGACTTTTTAAGAAAATGTTTTTATTGATTTCAGAGAGGGAGAGAGAGGGATAGAAACATCAATGATGAGAATCACTGTTTGGCTGCCTCCTGCACATGTGCCCTTGACCGGGATCGAACCCAGGACCCTTCAGTCTGCAGACTGACACGCTAATCACTGAGCCAAACCAATCAGGGCTTGACTGAGAAACTGTCACATCTCGGGTTCCTGTATGCAGTAGGATCTGGGTGGTGAGGTGGCTGTCAAGAGCCCTGCAGCTTCTGGTGGCCCTGAATGTCACTAAGAGTGCCCGGGACACTTGGGGAAGGTGACTGGACAAAGACCAGGAGGAAAAGGCTCAAAGGGGGTAGGTAGGTCATATCCCTTCTAGACATGAGAATGGCAGTCCCTACCTGAAAGGATTCACCTTTCTGCTCTGTCCTTTGGTTCTGCTGAAATGCGCTTGAACTAAGTTTCCTCGCCCTGACGCCCAGCCTCAGGGTAACCTGCCATTTCTGCTCACACCCTGAGCTCCTGGGAATGAAGTCCTCAGATCAGAACAGTGCCCGTGCCATTGGGTGGCCTTTAGGCTGTGCTTCCAGAGCCATGTGGACTCCACTCCTCTCCAAATGCCAGGAGGCAGACCCAGCACCTGGGACTTGCCATGCTCAGCAGAGGAAGCAGGTGGAGGAAGGACCTCCCCTGCGCCAGGTGGCGCTCTCCAGCGCCAGCGGGAGTGTCATGAAAAATGCTCCGAGCACAATGTTAAAAACTTTAAATTTTTTCTTCCAACTTAAACCATTTTTTAAAAGTTCTTATCTACTAGGCCCATTTTTCAAAAGGTAATCTAAGAAAATAAACATACAAAGGTTCATGTTTAATGATGTTCAATGCATTGGTTGTATTTTCTAAAACAATGGAAAGTAACCCAAATATTTAATGGGGAATTTAAGAAATGTCCCATCTATTTGATGGAATATTACATGGCCAATTTTTTTTTTTAAATTATGCTTTCAATGGCTACACGGTGACACACTATGATCTTAATATTGTAGAAAAGTATGCAGCAGAAAAACATTGGAAACATTCAAATGTAAATAGTGGTAACATCTGGCAATAGAATTTTGAATGATTTTATTTGCTTTTTCTTTCCTGTTTTCCAAAATTTCTGCAATAAGTACATATTTTTATAACTAGAAAAATATTTTTAGAAGAAAAAACACCTTTATTCTAATAGGTTTATGGCCCTTCTATCTACGTGAAGGATGGAAGGTATGGCTGTCTGGGCACTTACCTGCCCCTGCTCCGACCTGGCTTCCTGGTTGCTGAAGTGCACACTCAGGGACATGTGAATTCAACTAACTTTTTATGAAATCTCAACAGACATGCATTCTGATATACAATACAATCTGAGCAGAGCATCACAAAACACATCACTGAAGTATACTAAAATAAGGTTATTTACTTAAAAATGATACACTGGACGTAATCTCTATATAGAACACAGCAGTAAATGGTAAACTTAATAAGGCGCCTTTTAAAGCAGATGCTGACAAAATAAATGTAGTATGTTACATACCAAAGATGAATCTATATTTTTGGTGCTTTACAATTGCATGATAAAACTGTTTATCCTTCTTTCAATGTCTATGTACAACTTCCCTAATTAAGCTATAATGGCATTTTCGTTTTATATAATATATACTGCATTTTAATTTTTATGCGGGCAGGGACAACAGTCACTACCAGGGCTTAAATGATTCTACTGGAAGCTCAGTACAGAGCACAGTTTATAGTCACCCCCGTCAATCCTTTAAAAAGCAGTGTTTACAGACTCTCCCTATTGGACAATCTCCGTGGCCATATCAATGCTGCCAGATTTACTGTTTCTATGAGCGTTGGTTGTCTGCATTTCTTACTGTGATTCTCTTAACAGCTCTGAGGCAAGAACTGGTATTTTAACATCTGACCCAAGCAAATAATAAATATCACCATTTTTAAACAGTACAAGAGCTGCAACAATACTTTAAAAAAAAAACAACGCGTATTTCTGCTGTTGAAATTATTTTAGATACTCAGAAACATTTTAAAACATGTATGAAGAGAAATATGACTTGAATTTATAAAATATTCCCTGGAATAAATTATTCAATATAAAAGTTGATTTTGTGCTAACTTCGAAATGCATAATTCTTTAAAAGTTGTATTGCATTTTTGTTTTAAACATAAGCAAAAAATCTGGGGTTAAAAGGCGTTTTTTTTTTTTTAAACAAATAATTTGGCACATTCTAGGAAAATAATTTTCAAAAATGATGTCACTTTCTAAGTTTAGAAATACATCTGGATATTGAAAAGACAACATGAATTGTTGATTGAAATATTTTTTTGTGAAACTATTTTCAGAAAATTAGATTCAAACTTTATATTTTAGAAAGTTGTTCAACAAAAAAACACAGGGAAAGCTCAGAATAAAGATAGTGACCTCAGTCTTAATGTGCCTCTGATCCGAGATGTTCACACAGCTCTCACTCGATGACTGAGGATGAACGCCTGTTAGATTCTGCTGCCTTTGGAGTTTGTTTTTATTTCAGTTATTTAAAGGGATGACAGGCAGGAGCCACATGTCTTTAAAGTGCTCAATTGTGAGACCAAATAATGGTTTCTAGGGTTTTCCAAATTGTTAACTATGGTACTATCGATATATCATAATTCCTGCCTCTTTAAACATTTCACTTACTGAATGAACTAAGACATTTAAGAGTAAAAGTAAGAAGGAAAGAAGTTTCATGCAACATTTTTAACTTGTAAAACTTCAAATAAGTCATCATCTGCTTTTTAAAAAACATGTTACACTAGAAAATATTTATATTGAACAAGTCTCTCACATTAATTCTTGCTATCACTTTTAATAGGTCAATTTAATTTAAAAGGTTAATTATGATGGGCTGTACTTAGACACTATCTGTAATGTTTTGCATCCACATACTATTTTAACATTTCTAAGAATAGTGCTTGCCTTGTCTTATGTATTTTCTTTACTATTAAGATGACAAATGATTTTGAAGATTTATAGTTTGTCAAATAAAAATAAATCAAGGTTAACCTTAAGTAGACCAGAGCTAGTGTTTTTAAATGCATGGCAATTTAGATAAAAATATCTATGAATCTCACTGGGAAACATTCTGAAGGAGCAAGTTATTTGGTACTACCTACCAACACGTAAGCTCACTCACTTTGATGAACATTTCAAACTTAAATTATCTTAAATTATCTTAGATGAAAATTATTAAATTCAGTCAAAACTATTAAAGCAAATTTTAAATTTGTGAAATTTGATGTCAGTGTATTAAAGTTTTACCCTTAATGGCCAAATTTTAGGTAATGAATGGGATCAGGCTCTGCTGTCCCCTCTCCAAAGTGTTTTGACCATGTTGTAACATAATCACATTTATTTTAGGCTCTATTCATTGAAAACTGTCTTACTTTCCGCACCTAGGAGTTGTTTTATCAGACGAAGGCATGAACATTTAAAAGGTATTATGAAATATAAAACGTTTCAGTGAACGAGAGGGACTCCTTGGAATAACAAGTCGCCCATCGCACACGCAGTGTTTTCTGGAGTAGCAGCTACTCGGTACAGACATCTCCACTGACCAGACAGTGATCTCTGTGCCGGATTCTTCATTGTCGTCACACGTTACAGAACAGAAATCACAGAACCAGAAACCTCAAATGATGTCAATGTCTAACAGCTGTTAATGATGTGTATCATCTCAAACAGAAATTTCTAATGAGAGGACCGTTTCACGATGGAAAGTCGAGAGGATAGTATCTAAATGCAAGTCTGTGCCTGAAGTGAACAAACTCTGGGGTTTAATATACTAGTTAGAATGTATTAGTTCTAAAAATTCATATGTGGTTCTACTTTATAACATTTTCTTCTGATCTTTTATTTTTCCCTTATGGATGATGTGTGAGGTACAGGTGAGCTGGTTTCTACAACAGTATAGATGCATGTACATATAAAAAATATGGTTGTAAAAGGAGCATGTATTTTGCAAATAAAGCATATTACACACAAAATATAAATAACTTCCCTTTTAAAAGTTACTGAGAATAAAGAATACAGAACATGGTTATAGGCACTTAACATTGCTATCAAACGCAGTCATTAGTAACTCACTTCAATAAGAAGTGTTTTCTTCTCAAGGTCATGGCATTGGAAGGTCCAACTTTGGACAGGATGCTTTCTATGGCAAAATAATAATTACAAAAAGAAGAAGAAGAAGAGAAAAGAAGGTGGTGGTAGGAGAAAACGGTTGAAATTTTCAGGCACTTTAAACTTTTTTGGCCTTTACATCGACTTTCATGTTAAAAATAAAGTTGGTGGAGAAGCTAGCTCACTTTCAAGGTAAATGGCTTTTATGTGATTGGCGAATCTTGGTCAGGTCATGCATTTTTAAAGCACAAAACCAACAGCCTCTAATATCTTCCTGGGTGTTCATAGTCCTGTTTTCTTCTAATTCGATGGCAGCAGAGAAATCCTGGCAAGCATGTGTGTGTACACACACTATTATCAAGGCCTGACAAACTATTTCTCACAAACTACGCAGCATCCCAAACAGATGGTAACCCATAGGCTGTTTACAAAGGCCGAGTACAAATCCACGGCGTTTCCTCAGGCAGGAGCAAGGACACGTTCCTCCGACTCTGCTGAATGCACTCATCTTCTCAGGCTTTCACAGAAAGCACCATTTTATGAGCAGATAATTCAGCACCCAGAGTTGACTTGGAGACTCAGGAATCAGGACTGAAGTCTCGATGTAGTCCATAAAAACCCGATTTAAAAGGCATCAGAAACCACACTCCGAGTAAAGCTGTCCGCAGGTAAAGAGTGAAGTCCTGGAGTCCCCAGCTCATACTCTGCAGAGCCGGGAAGATACCCCGGGCAGCTGTGAAGGTGAGGGGAGGACAGCCTGCGAGCTGCGCAGGCTTCTAACCCCACTCTACTCCCACCGCGCCCTGGCGGAATCCTGGAGTTTCTGCTCAGGACTGCTTCACTGTCAAATCTTTACATCTTGGGATTCAACCATCTTTGCGAGCGTCTTCTTGATCCGCAGAGCCGTGAGTCTGGAGGCCGGGTTGTGGGCCCAGCACTCTGACATCAGCTTCAGCACTGCTCGAAGACACTGGAAAGCAGAGTGCAGAGAGCAGGTAAACACCGTTGGCCACACTCATCCTCCCTCCCTCAAGGGACTGGGTTCCACGTACCTCATCACTGTTCCATCTATTGGACACAATTGGCCGCAAACGTTTGACACACACAACCTCACGCATATCTTCATACGATGGGTCACTGGGCACCATGTTGTAATATGGCAGCTGGTACTCCTCTACTATTCCTGCAGGGAGGGAACAGCGGACACAACAATGGTGGCTGGACAGAATATACCAATCTACTCAGCACCTCATTAAACTATGGAACTGAAGCTGAATCCTACACAGAGAAGAAAAATATAGAGTGGGTGATTCACTTTTTTTTTTTTTTAATATATATTTTATTGAATTTTTACAGAGAGGAAGAGAGAGGGATAGAGAGCTAGAAACATCGATGAGAGAGAAACATCGACCAGCTGCCTCCTGCACACCCTGGGCACACTGGGGATGTGCCCGCAACCAAGGTACATGCCCTTGACCGGAATAGAACCTTGGACCCTTCAGTCCGCAGACCGACGCTCTATCCACTGAGCCAAACCGGTTTTGGCGGGTGATTCACTTTTAATAGTAAATGTATGTTGTATTTTTATGTCTAACTAGAGGCCGGGTATGCAAAATTTGTGGACTCAGTGGAGGCTTGGCCTGAGAAAGGGCCTTTTGGGGCTTTCCTTCCCCCGGCTGCAAGCAGTTGGCCTGGACCTCCCTCTGCGGGGCAGTCACTGGCCAGCCACACACGTGCCACAGAGTCGCTGCCGCCAGTGGCCTGGGCTTCCCTTTCTTTGCTTAGGGGGTGGGCCAGTCTAGTGAGGGGTTGTCTGCCCACCTGATCCCCCCTAACTGCTGGTCTGCCTGCTTGATCCCCCCTAACCACTCTGCCTGCCTGATCGCCCCTAACCACTTGCTTGGGGGCGGGGCCAGCCCGGTGAGGGGCTTTGGTGGTTCTGATCTCTGGTCCTTCTGCTTATGGTGGCTGGCTTCTTGTTATATAGGATTATTTCCCCTATGCCTATCAGGACCCCATTATAGCTACAGAAGTAACAATTTAAGGGGGGAAAAAAAGCAGCAAGGGAAACACCCTAAATGTTCATCTAATTTGTTTCTCGACATTGTTCCTAACAAATGCTGTAGAAAGCAGCCTGATCTGTGCCATTAAAGGTAAAGCTGGAGATGCCATCCTGGGAAAGGTGTCTGGGAACTTGCTGTCAGGCAGCTCCCTAAATGACAACAGCGGTGCCTGGGCCTGGACTATCTGTGCGGACAGCAGGGTTCGTGCTGAGACCTGCTTGCTCTCTGCATTTGCAATTTTGGAATATGCTAGGCAGAGGGCGCTACATGACCAGCCGCCATAAAACCGCTGAGAACTAAGTCTCTAACTCCTTCCTGGGCAGCAGCATCTCCCACATCACACGCTGGAGGAATACAGTGTGTCCTGCCTGGCTTCCCTAGGAGAGGTCTTTGGAGGCTGCTGGCTGATTTCCTCTGAACTTTGCCCCTGGCACCTTTCCCTTTGCCGATTTTGCTCTGTATCCTTTCCCTAGAATAGAAGTTAGCTGTGAGGACAATTATGTGCCCTTCCAGTGATGTTACAGGCCCTGTGAGAGGTCCATGGGATCCCTGAGATCTAAACTATGTAACAGGAGTATTCACTTTCCGAATGAGAATGCAAACGTAACGGGAAGCACCCCTCCACTCCTACCCCCTGTGATGCAGCGCCGAGCCATCTCCCAGATGATCAGGCCGAAGCTGTAGATGTCCGCCATGATGTAGGGCTGGAAGTGGTTCTTGTTGAGGCTCTCGTCCAGCACTTCCGGGGCCATGTACCGCCGGGTGCCCACTCTGGCGTTCAAGGGCACATCCACTTCATTTGTGTCACTAGACAGGAGCAGATGATGTCCAGGTGGACGGTTAAGAACAAAATAGTTTTTCTTCCATTTTTGTTTATTTTATAAAAGTCAGACTATCCTCCCAAACAAATAAAAATCTATCTTTCTAAAACTCCACATTCTTTTATCAGAAACCATTGAGGCGAGATGTATTTTTAAATTTAACATCTTCCAGATTTTGTAAAAGTAATATACCCTTTAAATAAATAGTACCAATTCTAGAACTTCCCAGCAGTCTGGAGCAGGATTCTTCACAAGCTTGCTACCATGGGTACACTGAAAGCCAGGCATGAATACTGCTATCAAGCTAGAAAAGACAAGACACCTTGCACGAATGCAGGTAATTTTGTCACCAAACACGTGTGGTGTCACTCAAAGAAAAAGACAATACCGAGCGTAAGCTATCACGGTAGGTGACTGTGTCCCAGAGCAAGCGGGTGTGAAGGGAAACCGAGAAGAGTCATTTGCCTGTCCACTCTCATGTGACACAGGGTCCCATTTCCTTCCTTACAGGTCCCACCAGCGCGGGCTGGGGCAGCAGTGCCCACAGTCACATGGATGTCATAGTGACGCTCACTGGGTTTTTGACTTGTGAGGTAAATTTTAGAGCTAGAAGACATGAAAGCTTTTTGTTAGGTCCCCATTTCTGGAAACTACTAGGAAACAGAGATTAATGTATTCTATATTTCCTTATATAGCATCGGATGAATATTTGAGCCAATTAACACTACACTGATTAAAAACAAACAAATAAGATCAAAATACTGGAACAGCCAGGAAAGATTATTTAATTTTTTAATATTTATTTTATTATGGACGAGTAATTTTGTGTTTTTAAAAAATTTTTAAAAATATTTTTATTGATTTCAGAGAGAAAGGGAGAGGGAGAGAGACAGTAACACTGATTGGCTGCTGCCTTCACGCCCCACACTGGGGATTGATCCCTCAACCTGGGCATGTGCCTTGATTAGGAATCAACTGGGATCTCCTGGTCAACCACCGAGTCTTGGCTGGGCTGGACTGGTCCTATCTCAGGAGGGAATATACTAACTGACCCTCACGCTGTCCCAAAGATGGAGGTGCCCACAGGCAAAAAGGAGGGAATATGCTAACTGACTGCCATGCCCTCAAAGATGGCAGAGTACAGTCCCCTCAGCCTTGCCAAGGCGCAGACACATGGCTGCTCAGTGCGCGCCTGCCTCTGGAGTCCCCAAAACCCTCAGCCCCACAACCACCCAGGGCTGGCTCAAGGCATAGGCAAGCCTCGGATGGCAGCGGCCTAGCCAACACCTGAGGCACAGGCAAGCCTTGGATGGGGGCTGCCGGAGGCTTGTGCTGCTGAAATTGGCAGCAGCAGAGGTCCGATGGGGCGTTGCTTCCCCCGATCACCAGGTTGCCTCCCAGCCGAGGGCTCCTGGAACATGAGAAGGGGTAGGCCAGGCTGAGGGATCCCTCCCTCCAGTGCTTGGATTTTCATGCACCAGGCCTCTAGTATTTTAATATTATGACTTGAAATTAATTCTGAAATGTGAAATTGCTGCTATATTCTAGAACTATAACATTAAAACGATTTCAATAGTTTATAACATCCTAAAGACGTTCTAATTGTAGTGATTTAAACTATTAATGACGTAGCAAGTGGTGATGAGAAATGGCATATCTATTCCAGGGGGGAATGTAAATTGATGCGGGCTTTCTGAAGGGATAATGTGCAATATGCCTCCATTTAATACGCACATCCCTCTGTCTAGCCCTTGTAAAGAACGTATCATGATGAAGTATTTGTATAAGTGTGCAAGGATTAATATATACTGATAAAATACAATGTTCATTAAAGTATTTTGAAATAGAGACAAACCATAAGCTACTTTAATGCCTGTGAATCTGGTCATGAAAGAAGCTATATTTGTTTTTGTTTTTTTTTGTATTTTTTTATTTTTATAAATCTTTATTGTTCATATTATTACAAAAGTTCCTCCTTTTTTCCCCTCCCACCAGGTTTCCACCCCACCCTCTGCCCTTTCTCCACCCCCCACTGTCCTCCATCCATAGGTGCACAGTTTATGTCCAGTCTCTTCCCGCACCCCCCACTCCTCTTTTCCCTGAGAATCGTCAGTCCACTCCCCTTCCGTACCTCTGATTCTATTATATTCAACAGTTAATATTGTTCATCAGGTTTTTTAATTCCCTTGGTTTTTAGATTCACTTGTTGATAGTTATGTATTTGTTGTTCATAATTTTTATCTTTATTTTCTTCCTCTTCCTAAAGAACCTCCTTCAGCAATTCATATAATTTCTAGTTTGGCAGTGATGAACTCCTTTAGCTTTTTTTTAATTTGTGAAGCTCTTTATCTGGCCTTTGATTCTGAGTGATATCTTTGCTGGGTAGAGTATTTTTGACTGTAGGTTCTTGTTATTCATCATCTTGAATATTTCTTGCCATTCCCGTCTGGCCTGCATGGTTTCTGTTGAGAAATCAGCTGACAATCGAATGGGTGCTCCTTTATAGGTAACAACCTGCTTTTTCTCTTGCTGCTTTTAAGATTCTCTCTTTGTCTTTTGCTCTTGGCATTTTAATTATGATGTGTCTTTGTGTGGGCCTCTTTGGATTCCTTTTGTTTGGGGTTCTGTGCACTTCCTGGACTTGTAAGTCTATTTCTTTCACAAGGTGGGGAAAGTTTTCTGTCACTATTTCATCCAGTATATTTTTGGAATCTTGCTCTCTCTCTTCTTCTGGGACCTCCATAATTCTGATGTTGGTTTGCTGAAGTTGTCCCAGAGGTTTCTTACACTATCTTCAACTTTCTGGATTCTCTTGTCTTCTTGCTTCTGCGGAGGAGTGTCCTCTGCCTCTTTGTGTTCCAAATCTTTGACTTGATCCTTGCGATATTCCATTCTGTTTTTAGAACTCTGTATAGTATTTTTTATTTCAGAGAATGTATTCTTTATTTGTAGTTGACCCTTTATTATTTCTAGTTAATCCCTTTTCATATCTTCATAGGTCTTGTTTATTTTATCGGCCTTTTCTAGGAGATTTTTGAAAAACCTTATAAACATGATTTTGAACTCTATATCAGTCGCTTTTTGTCCTCCATTTCTTTCATTTGTGATCTGTTTCCTTGTCTCGGCATTTTCGCTGCTTCCCTGAGTTGGTATGGTGGGATGATCAGCTCTATCTATGCCAAGAGACAGCCTTCCTTATTCGACTAGACTTGGAAAATTGCAAGAGCCTCTGGGCTCAGCTTGGATGGGGTGGAGTTTCAGGGTGGAGCCTACAGTTTTGGTTTCCGGTTAGCCCCACCCTATGAGGTTCCTGAGTCTCAGTGTTCCTCAGTGTCCTTTGGTACTCGCTGCAAGCACCTCTGAGAGAAAGGTGCCCTAGAGTTTCGTCCACTACCAGTCAGTCTAGTCTCCCCCAACAAGCCTGCAACTGTGGTTCAGTGCAGTTGGAAGTGGGGTTAAGAGAAGTCCAGAGCTTATGTCTCCTTCCCGCTAGGGCAATCCAGTGGCTCAATCAACAGTCTGTCCTCTGAGCGAAATGTGCGCAACTCAGGGGCTCTGCCTTTCGCCGCTCCCCTGAGCTTCCGCCTTACAGCCCAGATTCCCTCTGTATGAGCCTGGGGCCCAAGGGTCTCGCCCAGAACTGGGGTTCAGTGCAGTCGGAACTGGAGCTCAGCACAGTCTGGAGCCTTTGTCTCCTTCCCGCTAGGGCAATCTAGTAGCACAGTCAACAGTCAGTCCTCTGCGCGCCATGTGTGCGACACCGGGGCTCTGCCTTTCGCCGCTCCCTTGAACTTCCGCCTCACAGCCCAGATTCCCTCTATGTGTCTGGGTTTGCAGGGTCTCGCTCAGAACTGGGGATCAGTGCTGTTGGAACTGGGGCTCAGCACAGTCCAGAGCTTTTATCTCCTTCCGGCTAGGGAACGCCAGCCAGGCACTCAGCCGTCCCTCTTCTCCGGCTCTATCCTCTCCGCGCATGCAACGTATCTCTGTACCTTAGGCTTTTACAGCTCCTCTGATTTTCCTTCTGGTTTTCTTTTTCCTTCTCGTTGTAGAATTTCCAGTCAGTCAACTTTCCTGTAGTTCTGGATAATGTCCACTTTATATTTTAGTTGTATTTTTTGAAATTGTTGTGCAAGGCTGCAGTTAGGCGGTTACCTATGCCGCCATCTTGGCTTCTCTCAGAAGTTATATTTGAAAAATGGTATCAATATTATGAAAAAGAATGAAGTAGATCTACATAAACTAAAATAGAAGAATGTCTAAGACAGTGGTCGGCAAACTCATTAGTCAACAGAGCCGAATATCAACAGTATAACAATTGCAATTTCTTTTGAGAGCTAAATTTTTTAAAACAAACTTCTTCTAACGCCACTTCTTCAAAATAGACTTGCCCAGGCCGTGGTATTTTGTGGAAGAGCCACACTCAAGGGGCCAAAGAGCTGCATGTGGCTCATGAGCCACAGTTTGCCAACCACTGGTCTAAGACAATAAAAAACAGGAAATAAAAAATTATATAGAGGATAATGTAATTTTTGTAAACAAAACAAACAAAACCCACCAGGACCAAACCCCAATCATATACTTACTAGAAGCCTGGTGTACAAAATTCATACGGTGTGTGTGTCTTTCTCAATCTAGCCTGCACCCTCTCCAATCTGGGACTCCTTGGGGGGATGTCCAACTGCCAGTTTAAACCAGCAGTTGGACATCTCTCTCACAATCTGGGACTGCTGGTTCCCAATCATTTGCCTACCTGCCTGCCTGATTGCCCCTAACCGCTTCTGCCTGCCAGCCTTATCACCCCTAACAACTTCCCTGCCGGCCTGGTCACCCCCAACTGCCCTCCCATGCAGGCCTGGTTCCTCCCAAATGCCTGCCCTGCTGGCCTGGTCACCCCAATTGCCCTCCCCTGCAGGCCATCATGTGCAAGGGTGTGATGGTCAATTTGCATACCACCTCCTCTCTTTATTATATAGGATGCAAGCACAAACACATTCTTGAAATTCCACTGTCTTAAATACCAACGTGCAAAAACTTCTGGAGATTAATAGAATTCCAGAGTGGGCAAAGATCACTTACCTATTGAACTTCACTGCAAGGCCCAGGTCAGCAATACAACAACTTCCATTTTTCTTAATGAGAATATTTTTGCTCTTTAGGTCTCGATGAGCAATTGCGGGCTTTCCTTGGGTGCCGTAAATCTCCGTGTGCAGATGGCATAGGCCACAGGCAGCTGAGTATGCCAGCTTGAGCAGGGCCCTGGTGTCCAGCGTTGTACACTTCAGGAAGTCATAGAGAGACCCGTGTTCGTGATAATCGGTGATCAGATATAGCTGGGTCCAGGAGCCAGTGCCTTTAATGTCTGCGGCTATAAAACCTGGTGGGCGAGTTTCAAGGTTAGTTATCAGAGTCAGAGGTGTCATGGAGAGTAATGAAGGCTCCCAGGGTCATAACACATGTAACTCTACACTTCCGCAACACATTTACAATAATATTAATGATCATCCTGAGAATGATAATAGCAAAATCACATAACATATAATAACCTGGGGGAATGTAATAATCTACATGACTCTCTGAGCATGAAACCTATAAAGATGACACTTAAAAAGGATCCTCAATTTCAAAATGAAAAGTGCTCACATTTAAAGTTAAAAATGATCAATGAGCCAATTCCATGTGCCCATCAATGCCTCCTCACACCTGCCAGCTCGCTGACAAGCAGGTCCATAATGATGGCCCCTTTCCTCTTCTCTTTTCTTTAATAAAAGGTCAGCAAAAGTGCCAAGTAGTGCCCTGCCCCCAAATTCATGTCTACCTGGTGCCTGTAAATGTGACCTTATTTGAGATGTAATCAAATCCAGATGAGGTCATACTAGGTTAGGGTGGTAATTCAATGACTAATGTCCTTGTGAGAGGGAAATGTGGACACAGACACTCAGGGAAGCAGGAGTGCTGTCTCTCAGTTGAGAGCATCAGGGACCGCTGGTATCACCAGATCCAGAAAGCAGCAAGGAAGGGTCATTTTTGCAGAGCCTTCAGGAAGCATGGTCCCTCTGACACCTGCGTTTTAAACTTCAGGCCTCCAAAGCTAAGAGGGAATGAGTGCTTGTTGTTTTAAGGCCCCCGTTTGTGGCAATTTGTTATAATAACCTTAGGAAACTACTATAAGTGCCCGCCACACTCTTGGCAATGCACCAAGAGTGGTTCTACACTGAAGGGAAAGGAACAGCAGCTGAAAGAAAGGCTGGGAAAGCCGAACGAGTAATGGGCCTGTGGATCAGACCGTGCCGATGATCTGCTGTGTGAATGGGGTGAGGGGAGACCCACTAAGCAGCAGCATGTGTGGGGGCAGTTTAGCTTACCAGAGGCATATATAGTTACCATAGAAAATTGCTTAAATTTAGCAATGAAACACTTGGTTTTTGTTAAATATGAGTAAGTCCAATAAGTTGGCATTACTTTGAAATTCTTTGTTGTTTCTTCAGCAGGGTAGTAAATACAGTGGCTAGTTAACATTTAGAACTGTACTGTATTTAACTGTTTATCAGACTGCATTTCCTTTAGCCCAACACACATAACTGAATTCACATATGCTCTCAGAGCCCACACCCCACTAATCTGTCAGAATATGGAATTGCTGAAAGAATGTGTACCCACCGAGTATGTTTTCATGGCGCATCAGCACCGTCTGGTAGATCTCTGTCTCACGAAACCAGCTAGCTTCTTCAGTGGTAAAGAACACTTTGACTGCCACCTTCTCACCACGCCATTTACCCATCCACACTTCTCCATATCGACCTTTACCAACTTGCCGAACCATCTGAATCTGTTTGGCAATAGTTCGCTGAACCTTCATAAAAAAAAAAAAATGTTTTGAATTCTTACTGAAAAGAACCTATTAAGACTGAGAAAGTGGTCTGATAGTTCATCCCATTAAAAAAGATGGTATCTGATCAACTCCATTACTCAACCTCATTTCCGCTTCAGAGCCTTGTGCAAGAGCAGCTTCCTTTCCTGGTAAGGGCTACATAGCACACACATACACTTCTCAGTTGCTGCACTTATCACAATTATAGTTCTTTATTGTTATCAAAAATATTTGAGTTCCATCCCTCCCTGCTCACAGGATTTAGGTAGTTTCTGAGGACAATACCTGGAATACATTAAGTGCTTTCATTAATGTTTCTTGAAAGTAAGTAATACATTAATTGCTACCATTAGTGGTCATACTAAGTTAAGCAGAACACTAAGGTCCAGTGTAGATTGTACTTAAAATGGGCCAAATTTTGGGAACACCTAAACTAACTTATTTTTCATTTTATTACAGAATCCTTTTGTAATTTTTTTCAGAAGATTACTGACATATAACTTACCCACAATAAAATCCCCTCTTTTTGAGAACTGTTTTACAATTGCATAGTTATGTAATCACAATTTAGAGTGAGAGCATATCCGTCACCCAAAAAGTTCCATCTTATCGGCGTTGGTGGTATAGTGGTGAGCATGGCTGTCTTACAAAAAGTTCCATCATTCTCTTTAAAGTCAACCTCCCTCCTCCTCCAGACCCAGGCAATGCTGACTGGCTTCCCATCCCCACAGCCCTGCTTTTCTGAAAACTGCACAATTGGAAACCTGAGACATGCATGCCTCTGTGCCTCCATCATCCCCTCAGAACATGCTGCTCTTGAACCCATCTATGCTACTGCCGCCTGGGCCAGTGGCTTGTTACTTCTCACTGAGACAGTCTCCTCTGAATGTTATGACCACTTATTATCCATTTACCAACTGATGAACTTTTGGGTTGTTTGAAATGTCTATCTACTATGAACAAAGCTGTTATAAACATTCACATTCAGGTCTGGGCATGTCTGTATAGTTTTTTGGCGAATATTTAGCAGAGGGACTGCTTCACTTGTATAGAAAGTGAGTGCTTAAGTTTTCAGTCAACTGTCAAACTTTTCCCAAAGTGGTTGCACCATTTTGCACTTTTTTTTTTTAAGAAATAAAAGTTACACAGTTATGGTTTATTATTCCAGTGTGCTGGCCACATTGTGCACAAAACAGTGTTCTCTTCAAACATTACCATCCTAATATATACAAACTCTGGGTCGTAACAACCAAAGATTAACCAACCAGAAGTCAGTCCTGCAGTCAGTGCTGCTGCTGACTGCAGGTGCATGTCCCAACATTGACTGCTGAGGGGGCTGTGAATCAGGGCCAGAGAGAGGCCTGAAAAGCTGGGACTGATCCGTTGCTTCTGTGGCAGCCAGCATTTGATCAACACTTACTTCTCTCTCTCTTTCCTAGTCTGGCCAGTAGCTCCACCTCCATTTTTCTCCAGGCCTCCACTGGGGCTGCTGATCAGCCCCACCTTTCTGATCAGGCCCCATTGATAGGCCCAGAGATGCTGACTGGTATAGGAACTTACCAATCAGAACCAAATATGGGTGCTGTGGGGAGCCAATGGCTGCCTAGGAGGCGGAGCTTTTGATGCTGACTGGCATAGAAACTGACCAATCAGAACCAAATTGGCCAGCAGAGGAGGGCAGTTGGGGATGATATGTGCCCTTGACTGGAATCGAACCTGGAACCCTTTAGTCTGCGGGTTGCTTCTCAATCCACTGAGCCAAACCAGCTAGGGCAAGAAAAATGATCTTACATATAATAATACAACATACAATAAACATTAATATTTCAATAAAAGAATTTTAAGTATAATAATATTACCAAAACTATACTAATATACTATATCATAAACGTTATAGGAAATATTAAAAATCTGCAAACAACAGGATTACTTCTATTATATTCTAGAATATTTCCCCCCCTCTGGCTCTATTTTTTGTTCATCAGTTTATTATTTTGTTCATTATATTTCACAAATGAGTGTGATCATATATTTATCTTTCTTCCACTGGCTTATTTTGCTTAGTGTGATGCTTTTAAAGTCTATTTTTGTCAGAAATGAGTATTGTTACTCCAGCTTTTTTTTCTTTTCCATTTGCATGTAAAATGTTTTTCCATGTCATCACTTTCATCCTGTGTGTATCTTTTGTTTTGAGATGGTTCTCTTGTAGACAACATATAGTTGGGTCATGTTTTTGAATCCAGTCAGTTACCCTACACCTTTTGATTGGAGTGTTTAATCCATTTACATTTGGGGTTATTATTGAGAGGTACTTATTTATGTACATTTTAGTTCTGTATGGCTAGGTTTCTTTCTCTGTTTCTTCTTCTTGGCAATTACTAACAGCAATCCCTTTAGCATTTCTTGTAACGCTGGCTTGGTGGTGATAAATTTCTTTAGCCTTTTCTTGTCTGGGAAGCTCTTTATTTCACCATCTATTTTGAATGATAGCCTTGCTGGATATAATAATCTTGATTTCAGATCTTTGCTTTTCCTACCTTCGGTACTTCATGCCATCTTCCCTTCTAGCCTGAGAAATCAGGTGTCGGCCTTGTGGAAACTGCTTTGTAGGTAACAGTTTTCTTTTTTTCTTGCTGCCTTTAAGATTCTCTCTTTGTCTTTAATTTATGGCATTTTAATTATGATGTGTCTGGGTGTGGATCTGTTTGGGTTCTTTCTGTTTGGGGTTTTTTGTGCCTCCTGAATTTGTGTGACTTTTTCCCTTACCAGGTTAGGGAAGTTTTCTATCATTATTTCATCAAATACCTTTTTTATTCCTTTCTCCCTTTTCTGGCACACCTCATATTCTAAGATTGCATTTCACATTGTCCCACAGCTACCTTAAGTTGTCCACCTGTTTTTAATAGTTTTTTCTTTTTGGTTCTCTAACTGAATGATATTTTCAACTGTCTTCTAATTCACTGGGTATTCCAATGTGTTTTTTTATTTGTGTTATGTCATTCTTTATCTCAGACTGTTCTTTTTTCATAGTTACTACATCTTTTTTCATACTGTTGAGCATTTTCAACATCATTACTTTGAACTCTGTTCGGATAAATTTATTTCTGCTTCATTTTTCTTCTAGAGAAGTGGTCGGCAAACCGAGGTTCGTGAGCCACGTGCAGCTCTTTGGCCCCTTGAGTGTGGCTCTTCCAGAAAATACCACATGTGGGTGCACACATACAGTGCGATTGAAACTTTGTGGCCCATGTACAGAAGTTGGTTTTCAGCTCTCAAAAAAAAATTTCAATTATTGTACTGTTATTTGGCTCTGTTGACTAATGAGTTTGCCGACCACGGTTCTAGAGAATTCGATAGTTCTATCATTTGGGGATTGTTTGTTTCCTCATTTTGATTGTCTGTTTGGGTTTGTGACTATGTATTAGGTAGATCCTCTATACCTCTCAATCTCTAGTGCAGGACAGTGTTAAAGGATGTTTCGGACAAATTGGATTAGGCAAAGACTCAAACCTCCAGAGACGGCCTCTGTCTATAGACTAATAGGATTCCTATGTGAATTGCCCCCAGGCAAATCATCCTCAGGTGTGGGAAGAGTTTTTTTTCCCAACAGGATGGGGCAGTTGCTTCTGTCTGGCGGCTAATAGTTACTTTTAATCTCTCTCTTAAAAAAAAAAAAAAAAAAAAAAAAAAAAATATATATATATATATATATATATATATATATATTTTATTGATTTTTTACAGAGAGGAAGGGAGAGAGATAGAGAGCTAGAAACATCGATGAGAGAGAAACATTGACCAGCTGCCTCCTGCACACCTCCCACTGGGGATATGCCCGCAACCAAGGTACATACCCTTGACTGGAATCAAACCTGGGACCTTTCAGTTCACAGGCTAACGCTCTATCCACTGAGCCAAACCAGTTTTGGCTACTTTTAATCTCTTAAGTGGCCTCAAGGCAAGGTGTTTTCCAATAGGTTGGGTGGGTCAATTGTCTTTTGCCCAGGCAAAGCAGATGTCTGTGGGAAATATGTCCTCTGCTGTGTGAGGGAATGACATCCCAGGAAACTTGGGGTGTCTGTCTTCTGAGCTTTATCCCCCAGACTCCCAATCCTGGGTTTTGCTCCCATAACTTCAGTCCACTTCACCCTCTCCGTGCCAGAGCACAAGGTGGGTGGCTCCACAGGAAATTTTTGTGCATTGTAGCTGCCACTCCGTGGAGACAGCTCCCCAATGCTTTTTACAGTTAGATGTTTTGTGGGTACTCTCCATGGTTTAGTGCTCTCTACTGGGGAGCTTAGCTTGGGGGTTAGATCCCGGAGTTCTCAGTGGCAACTCATCACAGCTGAGATATCTCTACAGGACTTCAGTTGTTGACTGTGGGTGCCCAGCCAGCCCTTTGCTCCTCTGCCCCTCCTACCAGTCTCTATGTGTTCTCCACCTTTGGTCTTTGGATATCAATCAGGGTTCTCTCCTGTGACTTTTTGGTTGATTATTCAGGAAGCCTTTCTGTATTTCTGTTGTTAATTCCAGCTTGTATCCGGGAGCATGAATCCTTCTATTCTGCTATCATTTCTAATCCCTGAGATATTTCCATTTTGCATTTTAATCATCAATATGAGACTGCCAGCTGACATCCACAGTCTTGGCCATATTTGTGGACATGCAGTAGCATCTTATTGTGCTAGTTTGTGTTTCCCCAATGTTGCTATATTTTCAAATGCTTATTTGCCATTCTTATATCTTCTCTTGGAAAGTGTCTATTCAACTCTTTTGTCCATTAAAAAAATTGAATTGTCTTATTACTGAGTTGTAAAAGTACTTTATATATTCTGCAACACAATTTTGTGATTTGGTTTTTAATTTTCTTAACAGTGTCTTCTAAATAAGACAAGTCTTACATTTTGAGAAAGTCCAATTAATCATCTTAAAAACTGCCTTATACCTTTAGATTTCCTAAGAAATCTGTCTTCAACTCAAGGGTTACAATGATTTTCTTCTTCTTTTTTTTTAATCTTTTTAAAAAAATATATTTTATTGATTTTTTACAGAGAGGAAGGGAGAGAGATAGAGAGCTAGAAATGTCGATGAGAGAGAAACATCAACCAGCTGCCTCCTGCACACCCCCTACTGGGGATGTGCCCACAACCAATGTACATGCCCTTGACCAGAATCGAACCTGGGACCTTTCAGTCCGCAGACCGCCGCTCTACCACTGAGCCAAACCGGTTTCGGCATTGATTTTCTAAAACATTTTCTTGTAAAGGTTTTATACTTCAACATTTGCATTTATGTCTAAGATCCATTTCAAGGTAATTTTGTGAATGGAGTAAGGTAAGGGTTGAGTTTTACTTTTCAACTAATAGATGCCCAATTTTTCCTGTACCATGTTGTAGAGACGGTCTTTCTCCCACTGAAACCACTCTGGCTCCCAAATCAGTTGGTTACATATATGCACGTCCACTGCCGGGCTCTCCATGCCTTTCACTGACCTCCCATCTCCCTCTTATCTTTATGCAGTACCATGCTGGTTACATGGCTTTACATTAAGTCCAAAAATCAGGCTGTGAATCCTCTTTGTTCTTCTTTGTCAAAATTGTTTTGTTTTTTTTGGTCCTTTATATTTCCACTAGTTGCATGGTACACAAAATTCATGCATGAGAGTTCCCTCAGCCTAGCCTGCACCCTCTCCAATCAGAAACCCCTTGGGGGATATGAAGCCTAAACCAGCAGTCAGACAACCTTCTCACAATCTGGGACCACTGACTCCTAAATGCCTACCTGAACACCCCTAACTGCCTCTACCTGCCTGCCTAATTGCTCCTAAATGCCCTCTCCCACTGGCCTGATCGCCCCTAACTGCCTCTGCATGCCTTTTTGCCCCCAACTGCTCTACCCCACTGGCCTGATCTCGCCCCCAACTGTTCTTCCCTGACGGCCAATTTGGGTCTGATTGGTCGGTTCTATGCAACCAGTAAGTATTAAAAGCTCCACCTCCTAGGCAGTCATTGGCTCCTCACAGTTCACCCAGATTTGGTTCTGATTGGTCAGTTTCTATGCTAGTCAGTATCTCTAGGCCTAATCAGAGAGGTGGGCTGATTAGCAGCCGCCATGGAGGCCAGGAGAGAAATAGAAGTGCAGCTGATGACGAAGCCTGGAGAAAAAGAAAGAGGCAATAGCTAATCAACAGCTGCCACTGAGGCTGCAGATCAAACCCTGCCTCTCTCTTTGGGGCTGTCTCCGGGCCTGATCCCCAGTCTCCTCTAGTCTGATTTCTAATCGAGACTTCGGTCATTTTGGACATTATAGACCCTGGGTTTTCTTACATTAGGATATTAAATGTTAGAGTCAGCACATCAATTTTAGGAAAACGGATATAGTAATACTGACTCACAGACAGGATATACATCTCCACTTATTTAGGGCTGTGTTGATTTGTTTTGGCAATGTTTTCTAATTTTCAGTGTATATGTCTTACATAATTTTGGTAAGCTTCTTGCAAAATATTTAATTTTTTAATGCCTCTTCTAGTGATACAGCTCTTATAATTTTAATTCCTAATTGTTTTTTTGCCAGTGTACATGATTTCGGTAATTTTTATACAATGACCTTGCTTTCTGATTAACTAATTGGCTGTCTTAGCTTTATGGTATCATCCTTGATGTTTTTTACACAATTATGTTGTCTGTATATAAAGACCATTTTACTTTACACCTTTCCAATTCAATTACAGAAAATATTTAGTTCAGTTAAATGAGCAATGAATGTATTTAAATAAATAAATATCTACCTTAATATCTGGTGTTTATCATAAGGATCCTCTCAACCCTAACTTGAGTATTTCCTTACATATAACCCTCTTATAATTACTCGTATATGGCATTGCATTGTTAAGTGTCTTCTCTGTGAATATCTGTGGGAGAAACTTCTTTTTGACTTAAGAATCAGAATAGTCCAGGAGTCACACATCTGATTCACCTTCAGAATGGCTGTTAGAACAAAGCTTGTGAGCTAACTCCAGCACTTATGTAACAATCCATGACCACACTTCTTTCCTAACCTTACTTGCCTATTTTCCTTGTTTCATATTTCTTATTTTTGACTAATTTCATCTTGCATTACTGCGGCCATCTTTCTCACTAAGAAGGACACTACAGTTGCGGTCATGCTCCTGAGGCTGTCGTAACCATGCACCCATAGCCTGTCCTGATAAGGCACTGACTGTAACCACGCCCATCACTCTGTCACAACTACGCCCCATCGCCCTGCCGTGACCACACTCCATCAACCTGCTGTGCCTCCGCTTCCACAGATGCCCGTCTTACCAGCAGAGGCAGTCCGGAACCACTGCCAGAGCTCTGTGACTGGTCAATGAGGTCTTTCAGGGACTCTCCTGCAGGGATAAACGCCTCATCCTGTTCCAAGTCACGATTGTAACGACGTCTGCTTGAGATGCTCTTGCAATAATGTCTTTTCAAAAAGCAGAAAATAATATACATTAAAATCCTAAAATTATAAAATTTAAAGCTTATCAACAGCATTATTCTTCCTTCAGATAGGATCATATCAAAATTAGCGTTAGCCCAGATAACATGCTTCTGCCAGCAGAACCTCCAGAGGGGCTCTGCCATTCTAGCTGGAGTGCTGCTTGGACAAGTGGGAAAGACAAAAAAAACCCCAGCATGTTGATGTGACTGCAACGTTTTAAATTACACACACACACACACACACACACACACACGTCTACAAGTTCAGAGAGGATATATAGCAAGTGGTAACTAAGTTTTTCTGGGGATGTAGGAATATAAACTTCTACGTTACACAAGTATTTTTATTTGAATTTGTAAGTATACTAAGTATACTGGTTAATAATGGTGGATTTTGTAATCAAAGAAAACAGATAATTTCAAGAGAAACATCAAAGGTGCTTTATTCAAAGTAATGTCCATCACTAGCTACACATTTCCCCATCTTTCAGGTAGTTTGTGGAAACCATCCCAATAGAACTTTTCTTGTTTTGAGACAAACTATTCAGAGACCCAATTTTCCACTTCTTCGTATGTTTTGAAGTGCTGCTCAGAAAGTGCTGGTGCCATCGATCAGAACAAGTGGTAATCTGAAGGAGCAAGGTCTGAATATGGCGATAAGTTAGTACTTCCCAGGCAAGAACTTTCAATGTGTCTTTAACTGGTTTTGAAGTGTTTGATGGTGAGTCATCATGAAGCAAAATTACTTTGCGATGTCTTCTGGTTCAAAGCGTGGTTCAAATAATTTGTTGTCAGTAGCAATCAATATTAATGGTTTCACCTGGTTTTAGAAGCTCATAATACACCACACCTTCCTGATCCCACCAAATGCAGAACATTGTCTTCTTTCCAAAGCAATTTGCCCTTGCAGTTGATGTTGATGGTTGATCTGGATCAACCCATGATTTTGTGCATTTGATATTCTTAAAATAAATCCAATTTTCATTGCCAGTCACAATTTGATGCAAAAAAGACTTTCTTTTGTGCAGCTGAAGCAACATTTTACTGACTTTTTGGTTTTCCATTAGTCTTTTTTTTAAAATATATTTTATTGATTTTGTACAGAGAGGAAGGGAGAGACAGAGAGTGAGAAACATCGATAAGAGTCATCGATTAGCTGCCTCTTGCACACCCCCTAATGGGGATATGCCCGCAACCAAGGTACATGCCCTTGACCGGAATCGAACCCGGGACTCTTCAGTCCCCAAGCCTACGCTCTATCCATTGAAACTGGTTTTGGCCCATTAGTCTTTCATTCAGTTAGTTGATGTAGCACCCATTTTCCTTCCTTTAAAATCTTTCCTGGGGGGAGGGAGGGTTTGGGAAGATAATAGGGGGATGAGGACACATATGTAATACCTTAAGCAATAAAGAAATTTAAAAAATATATTTCCTTTTGTTTCTAAACAATTGGAAATTGTTTGCTGAGCAACATTTAATCTTTCTGCAAGTTGTTTTTGAGTGGGGCATGCATCTTCATCCAATAATGCTTGTAATGGTTGGTCTTCAAACTTTTTCAGTTGACCTGGACATTCTTTTTTTTTAAAAAAATTAATCTCTATAATTCAGATTACTACAATTGTTCCTCTTCCCATAGCTCCCCTCCACCAGGTTCTTATTCCACTCTCTGCCCTTACTCCCCACCCCACTGTCCTCCATCCATAGGTGTACACTTTTTGTTCAGTCTCTTCTCGCACCCCTTACTCCCCTTTCCCCAACGAGAACTGTCAGTCCACTCCCTTTCTATGTCCCTGATTCTTTTACAATTATATTCACCAGTTAATACGGTTCATCAAATTTTTTATTCCCTTGGTTTTTAGATTCACTTGTTGATAGATACATATTTGTTGTTCATAATTTTTATCTTTTTCTTCTTTTTCCTCTTCTTAAAGAATACCTTTCAGCATTTTATATAATTCTGGTTTGGTGGTGATGAACTCCTTTAGCTTTTTCTTACCTGTGAAACTCTTTATCTGACCTTCAATTCTGAATGATAGCTTTGCTGGGTAGAGTAATCCTGGTTGTAGGTTATTAATATTCATCACTTTGACTATTTCTTGCCACTCCCATCTGGCCTGCATAGTTTCTGTTGATAAATCAGCTGACAATCATATGGGTGCTCCCTTGTAGGTAATTAACTGTTTTTCTCCTGCTGCTTTTAAGATTCTCTCTTTGTCTTTTGTTCTTGGCATTTTAATTATGATGTGTCTTGGTGTGGTCCTCTTTGGATTCCTTTTGTTTGGGTTCTGTATGCTTCCTGGGCTTGTAAGTCTATTTCTTTCACCAGGTGGGGCAAGTTTTCTGTCACTATTTCTTCAATAGATTTTCAATATCTTGCTCTCTCTCTTCTTCTGGGACCCTCATAATTCTGATACTACGCTTGAAGTTGTCCCATAGGCTCCTTACACTATCTTCATATTTTTGGATTTTTTCTTCTTGCTTTTCCTATTGGGTGTTTTGCTTCTTTGTTTTTCAAATCTTTGACTTGATTCTTGCGATCCTCTAGTCTGCTGTTGGATCTCTGTATGTAATTTTGTTATTTCAGTCAATGTATGCTTAATTTCTAGTTGGTCCTTTTTATTATCCTCAAGGGTCTTGCTAAATTTATCAGTCTTTTCTAGGAAATTCTTGAAAAACCTTATAACCACAGTTTTGAACTCTATATTCAGTCGTTTGCTTTCCTCCATTTCCTTCATTTGTGACCCATTTCTTTGTCTCTGCATTTTGGCTGCTTCCCTGAGTTGATAGAGTGGCTTTGTGTGCGAGGTGTCCTATAGGGCCCAGTGGCTCAGCCTCCCCAGTTACCCAAGGTGGATAGTCTTGGTGCATCCCTTTGTGGACTATGTGCACAATCTTGTAGATAAGCCTTGATTGTTGTTGGCATCTCTGGGAGGAATTGATCTCCAGGCCAATTCGCTGGGAGTATCAGCTGTCTCTACAATGGGAGAACTTCTGCGCTAGAGACACCCTTGAGAGACAAGATTTGCTTCAGTGGGGCTTTGGTGCTCACTGAGTCTGCCCACTGAGTGTGTCCCTTATGGATTTGAGGAGTTGTAATCTGGATGGTCCCACTTTGACCCCTGGATACACTGGCTCTTGGATCTCCAAGGAGGTGCTAATTTAGCCTCTGCTTGAGGCCACCCAGGAGGAGCTATGGAGAGATTTGCAGATTCCTCTTCTTTGTTTGGGGTTTGGCGGTGCTTAGATGAGGTGTAGCTATGAAACAATGCAAGCTGCTGTGGGGCCTTGGGCCTTCTTTTGGATGTTCTGAGTTTCACTGATTCAGCTGCAGTTTGTTAGGTAAGTTTAGATTTCAAAGGACCAGGCCATTCATATGCAAAAGCCTCTGTGCTCAGATTGGAGGGGGCGGAGTCTCAGGGTGGAGCAAACAGCAATGGCTTCATGGGGTGGGATCTCAGGGCAGAGCAAACAGCAATGGCTTCCCATTAGCCCCGCCCACAGTAATTGCTTCAAGCACCTCTGAGAGAAAGGCACCCTTGCATTCTGGCCTGATGTCAGACTGTCTAGTTTCTCCCTGTATGAGTCTAGGTCCTTAGAGTCTTGCCCAGAACTGGAGTTCAGAGCAGTTGGGAGCTTTTGTCTCCCTCCTGATTGAGAAAGCCAGCCGAGTACTCAGTTGTCAGCCCTTTCCATGCGCACGCCTCTGTACCTCAGCCCTCCGCAGCTTCTCTGAGCCTCAGTGTGCTTTCCTTCTAGTTGTAAAATTTCCACTCGGCCAGCCTTCCTGTGATTCTGGATGATGTCCATTTTGTCTTTTAGTTGTAGTTTTGAAATTGTTGTACGAGGCAGCAGTTCAGGTGTTTACCTATGCCACCATCTTGGTTTTCTCTCTCAACAAAGCTTAATGAGCATTTACTGTGTGCCAAGGATGAAAGACACACCAACTCACCATGTTTATTATTATTTTAAAAATATATTTTTATTGATTTCAATAAGGAAGGGAGAGGCAGAGAGATAGAAACATCAATGATGAGAGAAAATTATTGACCGGCTGCTTCCTGCACACCCCACATTGGAAATCAAGCTTGCAACCTGGGCATGTGCCATGATTGGAAATTGAACCAGCGACATTTGGGTGCATGGGTTGATACTCAACCATTTCAAGTATTTATTTGCACTTCAAATGAGCCACACAGGCCAGGGCCACTACATTCATTCTTAATATTTAAACAGAAAAGTGGTAATTTATCAGCTAGCCATCATCAATGTCAACCTCTGTTAACCTCTGTTATCACTAAAGTTCCTGTCTAATGGGAAAGGCAGACTTTTGGCAAATGATTATAAACAAGTAAACAAGTGAAAAAATGTTAGGTGAAAGTAGTAAATGCTTTAGGTGTGGATCATGGGCTCTGCCCAGTTTTTTAAAGGTCAAAGAAATCACTTACAAAAAATGATGAAATAACAAAACAAAACAAAACAAAAAAAGCGATAGAAATTACCTATTAGAGGGAAGTACAAAGAGCTGCCAGACGGAGCAGAAATGGCAACTGCTCTAAAAGGAAAGGCGGTGACAGAGAGAAGGCTTTGGGAAAGGCCCTGACTTTGAGGACTATGTCATCGTGAATGTAAGTCAAATTCAAGAACAATACGTTTCCAATTTTTTTCTGTATTGGAACAAGAGTCATCAGAAAAAAAATGTTAATAAAATATATAAGTCATCTCAACATGTAGTAATATATACCCCTCTTTAACTTTAATCTTTTATGGCTTGCTATAGATAGAAATTTGTGTCTTATTAAAGTTGAGCTAAATGTAAATGATTCATTAAATTATTAATCTCTACTCAATAATTAGTCTTCAAGTAAATAAAACTAGTACATAAAACTCAAAAGCTAAACACACAGAAGTCATGAGATTCTGTGTAATACTTAGTTAAAACTATAAAGGGAACCTAAAGGAACAGCGCGCGCGCACACACACACACACACACACACACACACACACACACAATACACACTCCTGTTTGAAGTGCCACAGCTCAATAATACTTTTGTAAGTTTTTTTTGTTGTTGTTATTCGTAACCCTCACTAATAATATTTTTCCATTAATTTTTAGAGTGGAAGGGAGGGGACGCTGAGAAAAACATCGATGTGCAAGAGACACATGGATTGGTTGCCTCCCGCACATACCCTGACCAGGGCTGGGGATAGAGCCTTTGACTGGAATAAATCCCAGGACCCTTGTGTCTGTGGGCCAATGCACTATCCACTGAGCCACACAGGTCATGGCTGGAGTTCTTTTTAAATGTTTGTTATTTCCATTGCTGTCTTCATGTTCACTGCTTAATCTCACCCAGAATACAATTCATCTCAGGTACAATAGAGTTCATTTCCTAAAGTTTGAGTTGGATCTTTTATGTCTCTAACTTTTGAATATAAAAAATGCAGTTATAATAACTGTTTTAATGCCTTTGTCTGCTAATCCTAAACTTTGGGTCAGTGGTACTGAATGCTTAACATCCTCTCATTCTAAGTTGTATTCCCCCCTTTTTGCATGCCTGGCCATCTTTAACTGAATACAAGACAGAGTTTTACTTATTGGATGCTGGCCATTTCTGTAACTGCACACATACTCTTGGGCTTCATTTGAGAACATAGCTATCTGAAAAAGGCCCAATCATTTTGGGTTTTGTTTCTGAGATAGGACCAGAGCCATGTTCAGTGTAGGTTTCCTTACTCCACAATACTGAGGCCAGACTCCCTCAGTACTCGAACCAGTGCCTGGAGAACTACAGGCTTCCAAGCCTCAAAGCTGGTGGGGCAGACCCGATTCCCAGTCTTGCATTGTTTCCTCACCCGTAGTCACTGATCTGCTGAATACGTGACAGGAACCTTCTGCGGGTCTCCAGCCTCTCTCTGCAAGGCTCTCCTCTCCAGTTCTGTCTTGTGAGCTCCAAGCTGAGCTATCCCCTCTCTGCTATCCCTCCATCCAGACTGAGGGGGCTGCTAAGGCTTCTCCTGTGTCCCACAGCCAGAGTGCTCATGCCGGACACCGGGCAGCCATCACTCACCTTAATTGTTCCCTACTTCTCAGGGACCAAAGTCCTTCACTGCCATTCTCGGCTCTGAGTGTGACGCCTTACTGACCACAGTCCTCCCTGAATGGTCATCTGCCTGGGCCACTTCATGGGACACTCATGTTAGCATAGCTAGGTTTTCTCCTGGGCTACATGATTTCCCTGAGAAAAATCTTCCCATCTGTTGTCCTGAGGGAACAAGCCTGGTGACGAGGTTCTGGGAGGGTTGAGGACCCCCCCCAATCAGTACAAAATGTTCACGTGACCTCCGTGTTTTCACTATAATACCTCACCCTCCATAGCAGGGTTCCACAGTTGAGGAGAACCTTACTTTTGTTCTTTCCACAAAACATACTTCTAGCCCTCTGCTGGGAGACAATAGGGGAAGTCACAAAGAACAGGAGCAGGGAGTTCGATGTCGGAGGCCTGTGAAGATCCTCACCCGGACACACGCCGTGCTAACTTCTCTCCACAGTGCACAGGCCTGGTCCAGGGACCAACAGGTTATGGCAGAAGTGAGGACGGACCAGCAATTTTCAACCTTTTCTACCTCATGGTGCATAAACTAATCACTAAAATTCTGTGGCATACCAAAAAGTTAGTTTTTTCTTATCTGAAAAAAAAATTGATATAAATCTGATTCATTCACATCAAATGGCTATTGTTGGGTTGGCTGCTGTCAATTTCCAATTTGACAATTTGAGAGAAAAGAGGTCCGTACCTGACTAAATGGCCGGGGACTGCGTGTTTTAAACATTTTTGCAGCGCCCAGCAGAAAATCGCTGGTCTGGATCATGAACAGCACTGCCTTCCTCCTTGGTCTCAGGTCACTCCCTCTGCAGGGAGCCGGGCCTCTGCGGCAGCTGTGAGAACTCATGCAGCTCTGTGCAGAGGCTCCCAGTCAGGAACCAGATTGCCTGCCAACCTCTGAGCCCAGGAGGTGCTCTACCTGCTCCAGCCCAGCCTTCAGGTGGGAGGCTGACCCAACCAGACAAGTCACTCAATTCCTGACCCACAGAGACAGTGAGGGGTAGTAACTGTTGGTTTGAGCCACCAGGTTTAGGAGTGTTTGGTTTTGTTTTTGATCCTCATGGGAGGATATTTTTCTATTGATTCTTAGAGAGTGGAATGGATGGGGGAGAGACAGACAGAAAAACATTGATGTGAGAGAGAAACATCCACTGGTTGCCTCCTGCACACACCCCAACCAGAGCTGGGGATTGATTCTACAATGAAGGTATATGTCCTCAAACAGAATCGAACCCAGGTCTCTTCAGTACATGGTTTGATACTCTATCTACTGAGCCAAATTAGCTAGGGCTAGGAGTGATTTTTTAATGCAGTATTAGATAACCAAATCAGCTTCTGCCTTTCTAAAATCAGACTTTTAAGTAATTTTCTTGGTTTTACTGCCACTCTCTTTCACTTTCAGATAACTGGGACTACCAATTCCTGAGCTTCTTGGGTAATTCTATAGTATAAACTGGCTGCTTCCTGGCTATCAATTTCCAGCCTGGGATTCCCCCAATATTTTAGATCTGCAGTCACTTACCATTAATCCACGTTTCTTTAATTTTTTAATTTAAAAATATATTTTATTGATTTTTCACAGAGAGGAAAGGAGAGGGATAGAGAGCTAGAAACATCGATGAGAGAGAAACATCGATCAGCTGGCTCCTGCACACCCCCTACTGGAGATGTACCCGCAACCAAGGTACATGCCTTTGACCGGAATCGAACCTGCGGCCTTTCAGACCACAGGCCGACGCTGACTGATAGTTGTATCCATTGAGCCAAACCAGTCCTGGCTAATCCACCTTTCTTAGGTCCCAAAGATTTTGCTGTTACTTCCCGTGCTCCTTGTCCTAGTTGGACAAAGAAGTTAAAAACTATTGCTGTTGAGTCGGGGGAGCAAAAGTAAATAGACGGTAGGCCCAAGCTGCCTCTTATCTCAAAGACTGACTAGCAAACGTTTAAATCCTTGCCAGTATAATAGGTGAAAAACAATCTCAGTATGATTTTAATTTCTATTATGGGCGTTCTTTAGTTATCTTTTAATTTTTAAGAGCCACATATATATATATATATATATATATATATATATATATATATATATATATATTTTTTTTTTTTTTTTTTAATAAATCATATGTTCATTTTTGTGGCCTATTTTCCCAGGGATTTGACAGATGTTTTTCCTTTCTGACTTATATGAGTTCTTTATATTTGAGAAATCCATTATTTGAAATATGAGCTGCCAATGTTTTTCACTGATAGTCGTCTTCTAATGGTGATTTCTGCCACATAATAAAATTTTATTTTTGGGTAAGGTGACATCATCAATATTTTCTTTTTTAATTTTAAGGGTTAAAAAAACTTTTCTTTTAATTTACTGATATTAGAGAGGAAGGAAATGGAAGGGAAGGGGAGAGAGAAAGAGAGAAAGACATCGGTTTGTTGTTCCATTTATATGTGCATTCATTGGGTTTTTTTTGTATGTGCCCAGCCTTGGTGCATGGAGATTGGACGATGCTCTAGCCAACTGAGCTTCCTGCCATGGCCTACGGATTTTATTGTTTGTTTCTACATTTTGTGTCAGACTCGCAAAGCTCTTCACCCTCTGAGATTATTTTTTTAAAATCCTCCATGGTTTGTCCTCTTACTTTAATAATTTCATTTGTATATATTTAGTTCCAATCTAATTAAAATTTATTACCAAATAGGAAATTGATTCAATTTCACTTTCCCCTCAATAAAGCTACCTACTCCAAATCTACTTACTAATCCATCTTTTCCTCAATGATCTGAAATGTTGTCTTTATACTAAATTTCCTTATATAGTTGTATCTATCTATGGGTTTAATAACCTGTTCCACTAATCTCTCTGAATTTATATGTCAGTAAGATAATGTTTTATTTTTGAAATTCATGTTTTCCTCTTATTATTCTTCTCTTTTAGCAACTTATTCTGAAATCATAACTGAATAAAACAATTCTTAAGCCCAAATAACTAAAGAAAAGTAATATCATTGGTTTCTTAAAACTGGGTCTAAACATTCAGATATAAGAAAGTTTAATACTCCATAAATAAGAAAATCATAACTACCCATGACATAATAAGTATAAAGTTATGTCTAATTAATTGATTGGTAGTGAGATCCTCCTTTACCTTAAAAAAAATACCCTGGCTGGTTTGGCTCAGTGGATATAGCATTGGCCCATGGTCTGAGGGTCTTGGGTTTAAATCAGCTCAAGGACACCTTGATTGTCTTCATCAAAGTGTGTCCTGGAGGCAACCAATCGATGTGACTATCTCACATTGATGTTTCTCTCTGTCTCTCTTCTCTCCCACTCTTTCTGAAAAGCAATATCCTCTGTTAAGGATTAACAACCACAAAAAAGAAAAGTATAATACAGTTAATTTAAGGAGACAAACAGAGAAGATAAGGAACGGCTTCTAAATTACAACTAGCAATTGATGATTTCTGCCCACTGGCTTTAACAACTATTTATATCTACTATCCTACAAAATATTTTGCATCAAAATAATTATCTTCTTACTTGTAACAAAAGCAGCTGGAGAAGATGATCATAGCAATTATGCAGATAGCCATAGAAATGAGCACTACCAGCCATCGAATGCTGCCATCCAAAAACGGACCTGCCAGTGAAAGCAAACAATGAATAAGCACATTGTATTTTTCCCACATCTTATTGAAAGAAAAAAAAAATCACTTGTAGTGTTAAATTCTAGAAAATTTGTATATTGTTAAAAGCAGAGAAAGTATTTTACTGAAAATTGTAATCCTGCTTTTCTTTGCTAACTTACCTATAACAACAGGGGGCAGTGTAGGTTGTAAATACTGGTTACATAAATTGGTCCGACAACATTCTATTGTCCGGCGAAGCTGGGCTTTTGGTGAATCCTAGAAGGAGAATAATGATAAAATTAGAAATAATTTGATATACTAAGTTGATAATGAAAAATATTAAATATTCATTAAAATACAATTTCTAATTCACTGGGTGAAAAGTACCTGAACATTTTATGTGTAAGAAAAAAAAAAGATCATTAACAATTAGAAATTGTGCTGAAATAGTTTATAGTAGTGAAGACTATAAAATGGTTTCTATTTTTATTTTTTTAAATATATTTTTATTGATTTCAGAGAGGAAGGAAGAGGGAGAGATAGAAACATCAATGATGAGAGAGAATCATTAATTGGCTGCCTCCTGCACGCCCCATTCTGGAGATGTGCTATGAATAGGAAACTGTGACCTTCTGGTTCATTGGTCAACACTCAACACTCAACCAGTGTTGAGCCATGCCAGCTGGGCTAAAATGGTTTCTCCTAAGGAGAGCCTATATATGTGGATGGTATATTAGAACTAAAACATAACTTAATTATAGACAAACAAAGCTTTAAGTATTTTCAACCAAACTTTGGCATTCTTAATTTAGTAAAAAAAAAAAAAAAAAAAGTCAAGTCATGAGCTATTTTTCTAAAAAGCATGGGTAAAACATTTACTACAAAGATAAACCAGAAGGGAAGCATGGGCGCTCAGTGTGCTGAGACGTCGATGGATCAAACAAAATCAAACTAAATCGTGGAGCGTCCCAGGCCACAGACAACATGGTGAAGGGAGGCGGGAGAGGGGAAGACCGCAGATGCCGCACAGAACAGCCACGCTGCTGTAATGCCCTGACGTGGTGAAGAAAGAAAGGGCAAAATACAAAACAATATTCCTGAGAGCTCCTAAGAGACCACCAACCAGAATGAGATGCAATGTATCCTTAACAGATCAGAACATAAGCACAGAGAAAACACATGGGAACAGATATCAAAAACTGTGTGTGAAGTTTTATTTAACTAATTATATAGTATTAGACCAGTTCTTCACTTGAATGCGGACATTTCAGTACTACCTGGGAGAACTACCATTCTGGACCTTAGAAATTTTTTTGTCATTATAAAAGTAGCAAGAATAGAAGCAGGAATGGACCATGCGACTTTTATATCAGGTGGTCAGATGGTAAAATCTCAGTATAATCAGGTGTTACTTTAAAAATGTGAAATATTAAGTCCATGACTTGAGATTCTGTAAGAAGAAATGGGTCAAGAACACGGGATACCTCCAAAAGGACAAGTTGTACATTTTTACTGAATTCTTTACTTTTAACAATCGATTATGAAGAGAAAGAGAAAAATGTTAGGAGTCACACCTGTGACTCCGGAATCATCCCAGATCTGAAAACAACCCCCTTCCTGGAGGATGGAATGAAGAGTGTATAACCAACAGTGAGCAAAGGAAGGGCCAAGCACCCAAGAAGAGGCCATGAAAGCTGCAGTCCAGAATGAGCTGAGCCCTGAAGAAGAAAAAATATAAAGAAACACCAGGGCTGGAAGACAGACCGGCAATGGGTGCATTGCTGACAGATTAGTAGGCAAGAAAAAAAGTACAAATCTTCAACTTCAGTTTGTTCCAGTCTTCTCTATCAAAAACGATTATAAGCTTAGAGAAGGAAGAGCAAACACCAGGAAGTGGGAGCTGACATCCCAGATGTGACTAGGTGAGTCACATCAGAAGATGAGCACACCTGTGAGATGGCAGGAACACAGCATGATTTAAAGACAAGGACTGTTTGTTGGAAACTAGATAGCTAAATGTTGTATTGCCTTTCTTTAAAAGGGAAACAAAGTACACCTTGCCAATAACAGATGAGAGGCAGCATGGTATTTTGAAAAAGGCAAGGGCTTTGGAATAAAATAGCTTATTTCCTTGCTTTGCCACTTATTTAACTTTGTGACCATGAGCAATAAACTTACTTCTCTTTGGGCTTTATTTTCTTTTGCTTAAAAATGGAGGGCAGCGGGACGGACACCGGAGGCAGCAAATCCTGCTTAACTATGAAATGCAGTTAACACATCAGCTGGACCTATTTCCCGAATGCAGGGTGACCCTTCTGTTATTTAAAGATGTAAAAAATGCCGGAGACTTGAGAAAAAAGGCCATGGAAGGTGCTATTGATCCCTCATTGATAAACCCTACAGTGATTGTCGATCCATTTCAGATACTTGTGGAAGCAAACAAAGCAGTTCTTCCCTACAAACTAGGAAAAATGAAGACGAGAACTCTATCTACTGAAATTATTTTCAACCTGTCCCCAAATAACAATATTTCAGAGGCTTTGAAAAAATTTGGTATCTCAGCAAATGACACTTCAGTTCTAATTGTTTGCAATGAAGATGGAGAAAAACAAATAGATAAAGAAGACCTAATAGCTAAGGCAAAAGGTCAGCAAGTTTCCCTGGAAAATCTTCCAGAAATAACAAATATTACAGAAGTCAAAAAGTATATAAACTATCTTCACAAGAAAAAAGGATTGGGACATTATTGGATGCTGTCATTTGTAGAATGTCAACAAAAGATGTTTTGTGAAATGACAGAAGCATTAAAAATGTTCAGCATTTATAAAAAAAAAAATGGAGGATAAAAATGTCTATCTTACAGGACAAGGGGAGAAAATGAGTTACAACGGACCAAGTGTTCAATGAAAAAAGTAAATATTCAAGAAATGAATTCTGCTTCTAGTAAACTTGGGATTGATCCCAGTCAAGATTCTAGAAAAAGTTAAAAATGCTTGCAAACCCCTGCAAGACTGAATGTAGTTTCAACAAGAATAAGTAACATCAGCCCCACCCTCACATCTTTCCTATACAGGTAACTGGGCAGGCAAAGTCAGGTGTGCCAGAGCATGGAGTTGGATGACACAACCTTTCCCATTCCCTCCCTCCCACTCCCTTCTTCCAGCCAAGTCCATGTGCATCTCCAGATGTATGTGGGCAACAAGTTCTGGTGGGAGAACTCGCTTGGCATTCATGGCGTGGGATATGTAGTGAGCGTGCAGGGGAGGGGAGAAGAAGTGGGACATGAAAAAGGAACCAAAGCCAACTAAAAAGGGATGGCAGACAGTTTCTGAGAAGAAATCCATCCTACAGGAAAAACCTGGGCGCTGGAAGCTGCTCTGCCGCGGGCCGGGCAATGTGTGGCGCCCTGGGGAAAGGCTGGCTGAAGAGCCGTGCTCCTCAGGGGCAGTGCCGGGGAAGGGCTGGGGAAGGGCTCGTGACATTTGGCGAGACACACAGAAAGTTAGGGAAGCGAAGGGAAAATGTCTTGCTTGTACAACCCCTACAAGAGTTCTGAAAAACAATGTATCCTTCACATAGTTTTAGGCTGACACATATCCCATAATAATGGTGCCCTAGTGATATAGTATTTGGAAAGGTATGTGATGGATGAAATTAGTTCTTAAACTCATGGACAAATATTACTTCTTGTTAGAATGAGAAGGTTCAGCATTAATTTTAGCCCTGTTTTCCTATTTCCGTTTTGGGGGGTTAGCAGTAAGATATTTTGGTCACATAAACAAAAAGATGATAATGGAGCAGTTTGTTATAACACTGTAAAATAATTCTTTTTTAAAGATATATTTTTATTAGTTTTGGAGAGAGAGAAAGGGAGAGGGAGAGAGACAGAAACATCCTTGAGAAAAAAAAAAAATCAACATGGATTGGGCTGCCTCCTGTATACACCCTGCTGGGATCGAGCCCATAACCCTGCTTGGCTCTGACATCTTGGTACACGGTCAACCCTCCACCACTGAACCACACAAGCCGAGCTGTATAATTCTTTAAAGACCTTCTAATCATATGCTGAACACCCATAATGATACTATTACCAAAAATTACTTTCTGAAATATATTTTTATTTATTTCACAGAAGAAGAAAGAGGGAGAGAGAGAGAAAAACATCAATGATAAGATTCCTGCACACCCCCTACTAAGGATCGAGCCAGGAATCCTGGAATTACCCTGACCAGGAATTGAACTGTGACCTCCTGGTTCATAAGCTGATACTCAACCACTGAGCCATGCGGGCCAGGTCAAAAATTACTTTCAATAATAAAATATGCATCTTGTTTGTGTGGTTGATAAATATGCAAATGGCACAAAAATTGATTGAAGAAAAAACAAATCAGCATGCTCCCAAATTTTGACAAAGTAGAGCAAAAGACTTAATAGAATTAGGATGAAATTTAAAATAGATAAGTATGTGACAATTGTGTAACAAAACTCCTTGCTTTCATCTACTTATTTGTGTCAGATAAACAACTACATCAATAACAAATGGAAGAGGTGAGGCTCAGGAGTAGTGAAAGAAGTAGCACTTCAGCAGACAGAAAGCTCCATGTTTCAAGAACACGGGGAGACAAACACCTACCATGAGAGTTGGCTGTATTAGAAAAAGGGAAAAGAGTTATTTCTTCTGGTCAGACCACACTCAATTCTATCTATTACACTGAAAACTGTAGCATGAGTAATTCTAAAGCTGACCATATAAGATCAGCCGAAGTCACTGGAACTATTTTTTTCATGGGCAAAGACTAGAGTGTATAGAAGGAAAAGGAGGACAAAAAAAACCCCACCCTTTTTTCATCTAATAAAAGCCCATCATATTAAAGAGGGATTCTATTTGTTCTCTGTGGCCCAAAAAGGAAGGAAGATAGATTTGTAGTCACTGGGAGAAGCTTTCTCAGGATTAAGCCATCATCTTACAATGAAATAGGTGATCTGGGAAGTGCTGAGACCTAACCCTGGAGATGATGAATAGAAAATGGATGGGATGTGCTGTGTGTGTGTGTGTGTAGTGTGTAGGGGAAAGAGGGAGGGGGGAGAGAAGAGGAGGTTCACAAACATTAGCTGAGAAGTTGAAACATGTAACTTTTAAAAAAAAATATATTTTATTGATTTTTTTACAGAGTGGAAGGGAGAGTATAGAGAGCTAGAAACGTAGATGAGAGAGAAACGTTGAATCAGCTGCCTCTTGCACACCCCCTACTGGGGATGTGCCCGCAACTCGGGTACATGCCCTTGACCTGAATCTTTCAGTCCGCAGACCGACGCTCTACCACTGAGCCAAACCAGTTTCGTCATGAAAATGTAACTTTTAAGGTTTCTATCAATCCTAAGAATTTCTAAATCAAATAATTTTTTAAAATAGCCAAGACTTAAATTTGTGTACAAACAATTCTATCTGGAGCTGCTTTTCAAAAACATTCACAGGTTCCTATGGAGCAAAATTACTACACAGACTTCTGAAGAGATTAGGTTTAAACCCAGAGCCCACAGGGTTTATAAACTATTCATAAACTATTACCAGCCACCTGGCCCCCTCGCTGCTGCTGTTAAAACACCTCACTGAAATCCCCTCACTAGGATGTACTTCCTAAAAGTTGTCTCAGAGATACAAAGGTTAGCGCCCATCATCTTACAGTCTTTTCAATTTTTTAATCCACAAATAATTGTGACAGTGTCACTTTTTACGGCCACAACAATTTAGAAAGAGGATGATTTAAAACTTTTGTTTAAGTTCTTGGGAACTTCAATTACCACAGTCATGTCACTTGCAGTAAGAGCTAAGCTTCCCAAATATATCTGCTTGAAGAACATAACGCACTGTGCAGACGGCACCTCTCTGAGCGAGCTGGTCCTTTCTACTGGCCCCTCTCTTCTTTATTTAACGGGCCCCAAATGAAATCTTACCTTGCACTGAAAATCAGATCCTTCATATTTCATACATCCTGAAGCTAATGTGGTTTCTCCCTGGTCATCTTCTTCTATGATGGCAAAGCAATGTCCATTAGTTCTAAAAGAAAAAACAAACAAAATAAACTCCTAAGAAACGGAAAACACACCCAAAACATAACTTAGTATCAGCAAGTACTAATGATTATGTGCTTGAATGTGACCAGACACTTACAGCCTTGAGTACCTTGTTGGAATTTATTGGCATACCACAGAGGCTTTAAGGCAAATGCAAGTGATTGCATCTGAACTAACACCTACAGGTCCAACAAGAGCCCTATGTCAAGTAGGAATTCTATTAAGCAAGTCCTCCACACAGGAATCACTATGGAACTTCTCTTTGCTAATAGAGTGATGTGAGTACAGAGAGCTAATTTGTAAAATTTTATAAACAACCTTAATTTTAAAAACTATACTTAAAAATAACCTTTTTTAATGCATAAAGTTTTCCAATGTTCACATACTGTACAGAAGTAAAAACATGACATGAAAACAGACTCAATAACCAAGTGTATTTGAGAATAGTCTATGATCCTAAGAGGCACGTTTTACTGAATATAAAAAAGGGAGAACTTTTTGCCTTGGCTGGTGTGGCTCAGGGTTGCGGGTTCAATTGCCGGTCAAGGGCACATACCTAGGTTGCAGGTTTGCTTCCTGCCCCAATTGGGGCACATGCAGGAGGCAACCAGTCAAGGTGTCTCTCTTACGTAGATGTCTCTATCTGTCTCTCTCTCACTTTCCCTCTCTTCCACTCTCTGAAAAGCAAGGAAAAAAAAATATCGTCTAGTGAGGATTTTTTTCAAAAAGGGAGAACTTCTGAATAGCTGAGTTTTTAAGAAGTTTACATAAATGTATTTGTCTTTAATAAAATTTATCTATATGCTGGAGTTTTCCCCAATATGTTCATTTACTCTTTAATGGATAGAAAAAAACCTAAAAGCTTTTTGTGTGCTCCTATACTTACTGTCCATATCAGGAAGTGTATTGCTTCTACTTAAAAGAATCTTGCAGACGCCTGGCTGGCGTGGCTCAGTGATTGAGCATTGACCTATGAACCAGGAGGTCACTGTGATTTCTGGTGAGGGAAATCCATGAGGGCACATGCCCAGATTGCAGGCTCAGTCCCCACTGCAGGGGAGGGTGTACAAGAGACAGCCAATCAATTATTCTCTCTCTTCAGACCTTTCAGTCTGCTGGCTGATGCTCTATCCACTGAGCCAAACCGGTTTCGGCAATAAAATATATTTTTAAAAAAATAAATAAAATAATCTTGCAGAGTCCTAGCTGGTTTGGCTCACTGGTTAGAGCATTGGACTTCAGACTAAAGGGTTACGGGATTCATTCTCCTAACTCAGTTGCAGGCTCAATCCCTGGCCCATTGGGGTGAGTGCGAGAAGCAACCAACCTATGTCTCTCACATTGATGTTTCTCTCTCTCTGGCTCTCCTCTTAGCTTCCATTCTCTCTACAAATTAATGGGAAAAATATCTCTGGGTGAGGATAAACAATCTGTAATAATAAAAGGGTAATATGCTAGATCAAATGTCCTTCTGGATGAAGCTGGGGCCAGAAGGAAGCAGCCCAGGTCCCGGGTGCTTGAGGGAAGCTGGTGCCAGAAGGAAGGCCTACTGTTGCATGAATTTTCATTTTCCATAAGGAGAAAATGTGAAGTGAGGGATAAAATTCTAATAAAATCGATGACTTGGTTTCACTCTGGGTTATTCAGCCACTAACAAATACCCTACACATTAGGCAGACTTACGGACGTGAAGTCTGGCAAGAAGCCATTTGGTGACATAGTGGGGAGTAGTTCCCTATGACACGGATCACCCAGCCTGTCACAATAAAGTCAACCACCACCATAGGACAAACAACAAATTTATGATGTGAAGACCCGTCATATAATTTCAAGATTTCACTATATATCTGGTCATGTTCAAAGAGCAGCCAATTATCAGAAAAATACAAAATAAAACATAAAAAGGAAACAATTAATTGACTAGATTGGGTTGTTCAGGGAATTCTTTTTTGGATAGTGACCCAATTCTTCAAATGTAGAATAGAATTACGTGGTCATGTATAGTACGCTGAATAGCTAACATAAAACTAAGCAGGAAAACTAAAATGCCTACAATAATCAGATTGGTTTGGTGAATTGGCTTAACACCCACAATATCATTTTTACATATCTGTAAAATATTCAATTTAGAATTACAAGGCTTTGGTGACATTTTCATGGGTTTTGTTTTCTGTTTATTAGTTGTTGTTTTTTTGTAATCTCAATGTTTTCTATGAGTATCAATAATTTTATAAAAAGATCATTAAATAAACTCAAAATGTTAAATAAATATCACATTCTTCTCATCTCATTTAAAAAGATATATTACAATGTTACTCTAAGAAAGTAACTATCACAAAACATTTGAGATCTTGTTTCCCAACATGTCATTCATTGGGCTCCAATACGCTCTTATAAAAATTCTCTACAGGTTCGTGCTTACTCAACAAATACATCAACATAGCACCTCTGAGGAGGCACCAGGAAAGAGACTTGCAAAAGGAGGACACATTATCTGGAACTTAAAAATCAATTAAAAAAAAGATAGAAAAACAATTTTGAAAAATGGCAGCAGAGTAAGTAGATGCTACAAGGATATGCTCCCAGGACCAATCTGGAATTACAACTATAATACAGAAAAATTTCCCGAATAATCAACTGAAGACTTGCTGGACAGAACCCTGATAACTGAAGACGGAAAGTGGAGACTGCATAGAGGCTGGCACCTAAAAGGAGGAGACAAACAACCGCCAAATGAAAGAATAAGAGAATTCTCCAGAAGAAGCAATAAATCAAATGGAGGTAAGAAATTTATCTGATACAGAGTTCAGAATAATAATGGTAAAGATGCTTAACAGCATGAGAAAAGATATAACTATGAAAACAGGAATAAATAATGACATAGTACAAATAAAGAACACAATGGAGGAATACACAGCAGATTAGGGGAAGCTGAGGATTGGATTGTTGAATTCTAAGACAGGGTTGAAAAATGTCAATCAGAGAACCAAAAAGAAAAAGAAAAATTAAAAAACAGGAGAACAGCTTAAGGGAGCTATGGTACAACAGGAAACATTAACAATATTCACATAGCAGATATGCCGTAAGAGGCAGAAAAGGAGAAAGGTAGATAATATGTTTGAAGAAATAATAATAGAAAACTTCCCTAACCTGGTGAAAGAAAAAGACACAGAAATTCAGGAGGCATATAAAGAACCCAAACAGGCCCACACACTGATACATCATAATTATGTTGCCAAAAATTAAAGACAGAGAATCTTAAAGGCAGCAAGAGAAAAGCAAACTATTACCTACGAAGGAGTTCCCATAAGGCTGACACCTGATTTCTCATCAGAACTCTACAGACCACAAGGGAATGGCACGAAGTATCAAGGTATTGAAAAGCAAGAATATGAAACAGAGATTATTATATCCAGCAAGGCTATCATTCAAAATATTCGATAGATGGTGAAATTAAGAGGTTCCCAGACAACAAAAGGCTAATGGAATTCATAACCACCAAGCCAACATTATAAGAAATGCTAAAGGGAAAGGAGCTCTATACTCCACAACGGAAAGGTCCACCTCAGATAACTGGGAGGCTAACCCACTGAACCATATAGGGCACCTTAGCACACAAAGCCACCCTAACAACTCAGGGAATCAGGGAAAATGCCGAAAAAAGTAAACACATCACAAACGAAAGAAATGGGAGGACAACAAGAGACTGGATATAGAGTTCAAAACCGCGCTTATAAGGTTTTTCAAGAATTTCCTAGAAAAGGCCGATAAAATAAATGAGACCTATGAGGATATGAAAAAGGATAAACTAGAAATAAAGAATACATTGTCTGAAATAAAAAATATTATACAGAGTCCTAAAAACAGAATGGAAGATTGCAAGAATCAAGTCAAAGATTTGGAACACCAAGAGCCAGAGGACACTCCTCTGCAGAAGCAAGAAGACAAGAGAATCCAGAAAGTTGAAGATAGTAAAAGAAACCTCTGGGACAACTTCAAGCGTACCAACATCAGAATTATAGAGGTACGAGAAGATGAGAGAGAGCAAGATACCGAAAACATATTGAAAGAAATAGTGTCAGAAAACTCCCCCCACCTGGTGAAAGAAATAAACTTATAAGTCCAGGAAGCATGCAGAACCCCAAACAAAAGGAATCCAAAGAGGACCACACCAAGATACATCATAATTAAAATTCCAAGAGCAAAAGACAAAGAGCGAATATTAAAAGCAGCAAAAGCAGCTGAAACCGGTTTGGTTCAGTGGACAGAGCGTCAGCCTTCGGACTGAAGCGTCCCAGGTTCAATTCCGGTCAAGGGCATGTACCTTGGTTGCAGGCACATCCCCAGTAGGGGGTGTGCAAGAGGCAGCTGAATGATGATTTTCTCTCATCGATGTTTCTAACTCTCTATCCCTCTCTCTCTTCTTTTTAAAAAAAAAAAATCAACAAACAAACAAAAAACAACAGCAAGAGCAAAGCAGATAGTTACCTATAAAGAAGCACCCATAAGATTATCAGCTGATTTCGCAACAGAAACCATGCAGGCCAGATGAGAATGGAAAGAAATATTCAAGGTGATGAATAGCAAGAATCTATAGCCAAAAATACTCTACCCAGCAAAGCTATCACTCAGAATCGAAGGCCAGATAAAGAGCTTCACATATAAAAAAAAGCTAAAGGAGTTTACCACCGCCAAACCAGAATTATATGAATTGCTGAAGGGGGTTCTTTAGGAAGAGGAAGAAAATAAAGATAAAAAATATGAACAACAGCCAAAACCGGTTTGGCTCAGTGGATAGAGCGTCAGCCTGCGGACTGAAAGATCCCGGGTTCGATTCCGGTCAAGGGCATGTTGTACCTTGGTTGCGGGCACATCCCCAGTAGGGTATGTGCAAGAGGCAGCTGACCGATGTCTCTCTCTTATTGATTTCTAACTCTCTATCTCTCTCCTTTCCCCTCTGTAAAAAATCAATAAAAGATATTT